CTCATGTTGGAACCAATCTGTTGGATTAATTTTTGGTGGCCCACGTGCCAGCAACAGTTGAATCCTTCCCCCACACTGTTTAATCGAAGGATATACACGAGATTCTCAAAGTATCATAGCTTTTTCTTTGTCTTCTTGAGTTACTTAACGAAACATAGCAACCTGTACAATTCGAAGGTACACTTGAAATCGATCGCAATAATCCCTCTGTTTACCATAGTCGAGGAATGCAAGACGTTTTCTTCCAACGATTGTTATCCGAAGCTATCTATTGTTATCTGTTTTACTTTTGGTAAGGATCATCGAGCATCGGTTTCCTGGTTTATTAATAACACTGTCCGGCCCGTAAACAGGGATCTCCATCGTTAACCTTTCTTCTCAATCGCGTTTAACTACCGGCTACTCGAAATCGTGAAGAATTTCGGCGACACGCGATCCATCGAATCTCGAAAGTATAACAGGTGGGGAAACTCGAGGTTATCGTCGAAATAGCGACCGATATCCTTATCTATACGTTTCGTCGATCGTATCGGTGGCTTACACTTTCTGTTTTAATATAATAATTCTTCTTACGCTACTTTGTCGCTAATAATCAACAGCATGAACATCGTCAAGCTTTACCAAGCACATGAAGGAAGTTTTTAATTGCTGATTCGTATTATTTTTTAAATTCCCGTTCTCTGAAACTCTAAACACCGATAATAGATGCAAGTCATCGGTTCAAAGTGTGAATTTTGTTTTTGGAGTCGTGGCGTTAGTCAGAAACGAGTGATAAAGCGGTAAAGTATGCTAGACGTTGAGACAGCGATTTCCATTTAGGCGATTCGGTGAACCTTTTGGGAAGAAAGAACCATTTCGAATCGGTTGGTCGTGTTTTACAGGTGTTGAATAGCGTCCGTGGACGCTCGACAGGTGCAAATTGACGGAGGTGTCAAGTACGATCGCGATTTGTTTGACCACGAGAGATCCTCGTGACTTTTTAGTGGTCTGGTTCGAGCGCGAGACCGATCGACGTCTTTCCCGATTCTCGAAATGGATGTCACGCGATGGCGTATTTTTCTACGCTGGGGAATCGCGCACGATTCCATATAGGACGCCGCGTAGGAAATACCGAAGGATTTTTCCTTCGTTTCCGGGTGTCCTTAACGAACACTCTTGCACGCGTCGACGGATCTACGCTTAAAGCTAGATTTACGGGGACTTATATTGAATTTGATCGATGCAATGGCAAGAATACATAGTTTAATTAAAAGAAAAATCGTATTTTAAGGCAACTTAAGGTTCCTTCATGCAACAACTCCTCGAGCGCCTCGAGGCATCGCCATTGCGAATTTTAGCGATCTTCCTGAATTTTTTTAAGGGCCAACGCTACACTCAATGTTGCAATTCTTTTTTGTAGATTTTTCAACCACGTTTTAGCTATACAATTGTATTTTTTAATCGATTCTAAGCAATTGTTGTTCGCTGTTATCTCGCGAGCAAATAGAAGCGTGTTTAACGCTAGATTTACGATGAAAATTATTTATAAATATTATTTTTCAACAACTCAAGTTAAATTTGATTGATGTAATTGCACGAATACATATTTTAATTAAAAGAAAAATCGTATTTTAAGGGAACTTAAGGTTCCTTTATGCAACAACTCCTCGAGCGCCTCGAGGCATCGCCATTGTGAATTTTAGCGATCTTCCTGAATTTTTTTAAGGGCCAAAGCTACAGTTAATGTTGTGATTCTTTTTCGTAGATTTTTCAACCACGTTTTAGCTATACAATTGTATTTTTTAATCGGTTCTAAGCAATTGTTGTTCGCTGTTATCTCGTGAGCAAATAGAAGCATGTTTAACGCTAGATTTACGATGAAAATTATTTATAAATATTATTTTTCAACAACTCAAGTTAAATTTGATTGATGTAATTGCACGAATACATATTCTAATTAAAAGAAAAATCGTATTTTAAAGTAATCGTCAACAATGAAGGTGTCAATAAATATCAATACAAAATTTATAAATCTTCTATCCAAATACAAGTATTTAATATTTTACACGTACTCAAATTACAAAAGTCGTATTTTCTATAGATCCCTAGATCCTTATCAAATAATTAAAAGTCAAATTCAGTATGGTTCTTCTGAAATTCGTCTCAGTCTCTGAGTGATGGATAATATTGTTTAAAAGTGACGAATAAATTTTTTTTCTAGTATTAACGGGTCCAGAAATTAATTTCTTAACACTAGAACTACCCACAAGCGTATTAAAATAATTTCTAATAAAAATAGTAAAGAAGTCTCTGAGTGACGGATAATATTTTTTAAAAATGACGAATAAATTTGTTTTCTACTGTTAACGGGTCCAGAAATTAATTTCTTAACACTAGAACTACCCGTAAGCGTATTAGAATAATTTCTAATAAAAATAGTAAAGAAGTCTCTGAGTGACGGATAATATTTTTTAAAAGTGACGAATAAATTTTTTTTCTACTGTTAACGGGTCCAGAAATTAATTTCTTAACACTAGAACTACCCCTAAGCGTATTAGAATAATTCCTAATAAAAATACTAAAGAATTTACTCGGTTGGATTTTTCAAAATTTACTTCCATTACATTGTATCATTAAAATCTCGTTGCTACAAATGAAAAACCTCAAAAAAACTGGAAAAGTAACCCTAAAAATTTCAATCTAAGCACAGAACAGTTTTGGAGCTTGAAAAAAGTCGAGATCATGCGAAGACCGCCATTTTTATTTCCAGGACCTTGACCTTTCGCCGCCAACTAGTCGATTAACACTTTCGATCGTCCGAAAGTCGACTACGTTTCGTTCACGGGGATCCGCCATCTTTGTTCGGCGGTCCAAAAACGGAGAAAATTGTCGAACAGTAATTACGCTATAAAAAATGAACAGGAAGCTCCTGGGAACTCGTGGGACCCTGAAGCTGGGATCCTCGTTAGCTCGTAGATCTTATGGTTGCGTGGCGTGCACGACGATATGGAATTTCATAACAGAGGCTCGTTAAGCGAGCTTCGTTATCGTTCCGTAGATCGGATTTACCTCGATCGAGACACGACCTTTCGAATTAATCGCCACGGATGGAACGTCCGTAAGCGAAATGGCGGACGGGCGCGGGAATCGAAAAGAATCCCGGGGTACGCGAAAACTGATTTATTTTTTCACGATTTCCATTCACCGGTTCGGACGATGCAGACCGTGCTTTCCCTGAATCAATAATCCGCTGGCTGGTGGTATGCGCGCGGTGTGTTTTTTCCTCTCTTATCACATCGATTATAAGTACACGCCAGGTATTATTTTAGGCGAACGGGCGACAGTGATGGAGCACTTGCGCCCACTTGATGATTCAGTTTGCAAATATGTACAAAGCTATTTCGACCTGCACGCTACCTTTTAAAAGACATTACGTTCCAAAACCGATTCGAACGCCCCCGTCGTTATTGTCCATTGCTTTTTTCGACTTTTTTACCATCCTTTTTCAAAGGACCGTTGTTAACCTAAGTTCGACGAGGCGGGGTACACTTGCCACATCATGCGTTTAATTTAAATGATCGAGTGAAAGTCGCAAGAAAGGATTACTAAATCGCTCGTCGCGTTACTCTCGGAATATCGATACGAATTGTGGAGTTTGGTGGATTTCATTCGCGAATAACGAATAACGAATAACGAATAACGAATAACGAATAACGAATAACGAATGAAAATCTTTTATCCGTAGACTGATCGTCCATCGACGTTCGTGAATTAGAATTCGTTACCAAATTATGGGATATATTCAAAAATTTATTAGCAATGACGCCTCGCTGTAGAGGTTGTTAGGCTCTTGACTATTGTTTTTAAACATACACACACGTATCTAGATTCTGGATTCTTTTGTACACAGGTACACTAACTTCTATTTAACCTCTTCACGCTTGTTTTTCGGGTTAACCAAGAATGATCAGTTTTCTTTATAGGTGTGGCGTTGCTTCCCGTGCTCGCCACCAGAGGGGTTCGCACTCTCACAAGCGCTCTCACGACCCCTCGGTTGCTATATATACATTCCTCGAACGACTTCCCAATATACTACCAAACTAACCGCATGACGCATGAAAACGAGGTTGAAAGTTTTCCCTCGAGCCTGAACGCATGAAATACCACAACCCCACACTAACATAAATATATACCAGGCACTAACAATTACGCTGAATGCAGGTTATAGGGCCCCCAGCCCCAGGTACTGCAATCAATCACGAATAATAACAAAAAAAAAAAAAACTTCCCAATATCCCAGTCGTCTAAGGCAGGGCCTGCTAGAAAGCCTTACTGATGAGTCCACTGGCAGGCCCCGGACGAAACGGGCCCCCTCCTTTCCTTTTCTGTCCTCCTACTATTCTCACGAGATCCTCTACCCGCAACGAAGCAGCGCCACAATAGGATTAGTTTTTTAAAAATACGGTTTTCGTCAATTATAATGTTGCATCTAACGTGTAATTCGAAGGAAACCAAATATTTTCATCCCTTAAACGATCAGATTAAAGAAATATCGTCTTTCAAAGCAGTCAGACTCGGGCATGAACGTGTTAAGGGGTTAACATCAGTCGTTTCAGTTTTGTATCGTATTTATAGGATCTCCAACACAAATCTTTCGAATCGATGCTCGTGAAACGCTCTTAACACTTTACCGACCGGTAGCGGTTGATTAATCGGCTATCGGTCGGTAAGCGTTGGTCGGTAAAAAAGTTGATTAATACGCTATCGGTCGGTAAGTGTTGGCCGGTAAAAAAGTCGATCAATAGGCTTATCGGTCGGTAATGTGTTAAGAAGTCTCGAAGGGAATTTTACGTTGATTTATTTTTGTCTATTTTTGCAACCGGCAGTTAACCTGGATCGGGACGCGGAGGATTGCGAATCGATCAAAAGTGTCGTCACGGTTATCGTTGTTAACTTTGGTAGAAAGTTCAAACATCGTTCACACGCCGAATACATAATCTGACGTGAGCTTTCACTTTCAGAAACAGTTCAAATACAAGAGCCTGGAGAAGCTGTTCACGTTGTACCAGAGGAAGGTCCAATATGGTAATCTGTCGCTGTTCGGTCTGCTGCAACTGGTGCTCGGGACCACGTATTGTTTGATCTTGGTTACAGCGGTGAGCCTAAACGAGAATTCAACTTGCATATTAAAATACTTTTTTTTTTTTTATCTAGTTTTTTTAGTCACGCGAACGCATTGCGTTTCTTCCAATTTTTCCCGATCGAAACTGTGTTTTACTTGTTGCAAAATTTTTACATTTTTACGTTTCTCAAATCAGGATAAATTATGAGAAAATTTCCAGAGAAGCGTTGGATGCTACGCTGATCGATAGCAAATATGTATTCTTCGTGTAAATAGTCAGTTCTAGACTCCATTCTGACCCTAGTTGCGCGAACGAAAATTGAATTATTGGTTCCAGGAAACTATCGGTATCGTTGGTTTAATTTTGTTCTTCGCCGAGAAGAAACTTAGAAAATAAACTTGAAATGTTGTTGCTTGTAAGTAGACCGCGGATGTTTACGCATTTATGGGAAATTTTAATTTTCAAGAAACTACAGAATTCAGTTGATATGCAAGAATAGAGACAACCGTTTACAAAGCTCCAATTTCATCAATTTTATTAACAAAAATATGAACTTGCATGAAGATCCGCAGTCTGCTTATAAGAATGTAAATAATGACATAACTATAATAACGAAGACAACGAGTGGTATTTATGGTAAAGATACACTGACTTTGTCAAACTCTAAACATTTAACGATTTCAAGCGACGTTGCTTCGATATTGTAAACTCGTGACAACGATCGACTAATTTTCAGAGACCACGATCGAGAAGTTTACGCAGTCTGTTAATTCTTATAGATCAGTTTGATGTCTGGGTTAACTTTGTATGAATAATACGAAACGCATGCACATAAATTAAGCAACTTGCGTATGTATCTACATAAATTATATCGAACGATTTTAAATTCAAATAACCCTTCGATAGTCGCGTTAAGGACTGGAAGAGAAAATGTATCACTCGTCGTTTCGCAAATTGATCTGTTAACTTTTTCATTTCGTTTTGAAAAGACACCATTCTGGTCTACCACGTTTCACGTGCAGAAGGCAAACTATCATTATTTTACTTCGAAAAAATTGCTACATATTTCATAAACTGTGAGTAGAAATGGGTGAGAACATAGTTTGCCAGAGAATGATCAAAAAAGGCTTAAGAATATTAGAATTGTTATCTTAGAGCTGTCTGTGGATGTCGTGTAGTTATTCAAGAAACTATTGAAACTTATCAGTGCTGCTTTAAAAGCTGAATATCTTAATATTATTTCGTTCGAGAAAGTCGGAACTTAAATCCTCGTACAAATTGTAACAAATTTCGTAGAGTGTAATTTTATTTTAAAAAGTAGTTCTGTAATTTAAGGTCATCCAGGGTCACCGAGGATCAGTTACCAAAAAATATAGTCTATTTCGAGAAATAGTTCTAACGTTGCAAAAATTTGCATTTCGAAACTCCAAGTTTGAATTTAAATATTCGAAACGCTGACCTTGACCTTTTTCTTTCCTGCAAAGCGCGGTGACAATTTGATCGAACTTTTTAAGTAAACACTCTCGTCATTATCTTATCGTGAACTAGAGCAAGAGTATTATGATAGATGCGATGTATACAACTTGATGGAATGTTGTTTGTTTACGTGTCTTGTGCTATATGGTACTCGTTAAGCTATAACGAGCATGTGTCGCGCCTAACAATAGCTAAAGAAGATAGAAGGGAAGATATAAGATAAATTTCTGAATAACCTTGAACTTTAGGTCATTGCATTCGTTCTATTTAAAAAAAAAATGACAATGAAGTGTCCTTGATGCACCCATGTGGCACCAAAAAGACGTCTCTACGCTATTTAAATCGTGAAATCAGATAGCGTTTAACTCTGTGCATTTCTTTTCTATCTTCGAAGATCGACAACTTGCACAGAGTTATCTGGAATTGCCCCATCTTGTGTATTGATCTATAAACGTTTTCATTTTCATGACGCTTTTATTACGTAAACAGCAATAACTTACCGACATTACACAACCATCTAACCACAGATGCATCTTTCTGTACTCGAGCGTCACGATGTCCAATTTTCCTCGAATCGATAATCTATCGTCGAGGTGTTCCAAAAAACAAAAGAAAAATTACCAACATCCCCCGCACACTCGAACACAGTAGAATAATTTCTTCTCGATTGTACACGATGAGGTCATCGTCACTATTTGTGTTGTCTCGGCGCGACCAGCCGATCGACAGTTGTGCAAATAAAGGCCAGCTAGCCGCGCGTCTACTCGACTTTCATCCACCAACTAGTATTTTCTACGTTCGTCGATATATCTTTGCAAGACCATTACCAATGGATTGGTTACCTTTTTTCCCATGGAAACGAGTACAAACACGACCATGTTCGGACCACTTTCAATTATAAGTTATTCGGGAAATTATTGGAAAATTTCAGATCACGCGTATTAGAAAATAGTCCGAACACGGCCGTGTTTGTACTCATTTTCATCGGAAGAATCTCGTCGATCCAGCGATAATATTTTTACGAAGATGAAACGTCGATATATCTTTGTAAGATCATTACCAATGGATTGGTTACCTTTTTCCCCATGGAAACGAGTACAAACACGACCATGTTCGGACCACTTTCAATTATAAGTTATTCGGGAAATTATTGGAAAATTTCAAATCACGCGTATTCGAAAATAGTCCGAACACTGTCGTGTTTGTACTCGTTTTAATCGGAAGAATCTCGTCGATCCAGCGATAACATTTTCACGAAGATGAAACACGGAATGAAGCATGAATCTATATCGTGGCAAGCCAAATGACTAACACTGTTGACATTTTGAAATTTAATTTTTCCTCCTTTGCAATACATTAAATGAGAAACAAAAATTAATATCGAACGTTTAAAAAAATTGTGAAATATTATTCTCTACTATTTTTTTTATTACGTTTGTAACTTCGATTTCGTTTGGAACGAATTCGTCTTCCAATTAGTTCGAATAATCGGACGATCCACTGTCGTTCGTTTCTGACGGACGAGCACTTGAAATTGCACGAATGTCTGAAAATCCCGGATACCGTTGCTCACGATATCGACGTAACAGCCAATGAATGGATGATTCACCGTTCTTTGAAAGGAACGAGCTTTCATAAGCCAAGAAGAAGAAGCAGCGAGCAGACCTTCCCAACGGAAATATTAACTCACGATCCGTGCATGCGTATAAAGACTATGAATTATAGACGATTGGAAAATGGTTACATGGTCTGATGTGATTAAAATAGATCGGATCGAGTCGGATGGAAGATCCTGGGACTGGAGTCAAGGGAAACAAATAATCCATCCGTAGCTGAAGAGAAGATGAAGTTCAGGCGGGACTTTCGTGTTTTGGAGTTGTTTTAAATATTTTGGGAAATAGTTTACCATCGACGATACGTTTTTAAATCCATTTGCTGTACGACAAAATCGTCCGTTCCAGAATCGTCGGGCCACTCTGCCGAAATCGTTCACGCAAAAATCACGTGCATCGTCCACCAATGTACCGAATCATCTCGTTCAATGACTCAAGACACTGACGCAAGATCGACCTCTTGATCTTCCATTATAGAAAACGAGGAGCTATCGAGTATTGTGTACAAACAGTGTAGTAGTCCGCCATCGATTGAGAGACAGTAAATTGTTCCGTGACTAAAAAAAATAACGTAAAACACTTGTTCGAGTTACGAATAAACTCAGAAAGCTTGATTTTAATTTTGGATCGATAACGATCGAAACCAATGGAATTTTTCCACCGCCAGGTCCATATAGAGAACTGCGTGCCGGACGTGATCGTCCACAGCGTGGGCAGCGCGCTGCTGTGCCCAGTGATCGCGATCTCCTTCCGGTTGAAGATTATCGCCGAGAACACCTACATGCCCGTCATGCTGTCCTGCCTGATCGTGGTTCTGTTGGTGATCGGCGATCTGGCCGTTCCGTTGTACTACACCCTCACCTGCACCGAGGACCTACCACCGATAAGGTAAACCTGATAACACAAGGCCGCCATTTAATTATCGTCGATGGCCCCCTCACTCGTTTTAGTCTCATGGGTCGTTCCGCGGTTACGAAAGATCGGCTGCTCTAAGTTTATCTAAGCTCAGTGGTTCTTAACCTTTTTAGATTCACACCACACAGAAATTGGAATTTTATACTTCATTTCCCTAGTAGACTCAATCTTAGAACGTATACATATACAAAGTATTCGACTACATGGAGAACGGAAGGGGTCAGTGAAGCGCTTGCGAGAGAGCAAGCCCTCTAGCGGCGAGTTCGGGAGGTGACACTGCAGGACCACCCGTAGTTTCTCTTTTTAAACATATTCCGTTGCATGCATCGTAAAAATTGCTTATCTAAGCTCAGTGGTTCTTAACCTTTTTAAATTCACACCACACAGAAATGGAATTTTATACTTTATTTTCCTAGCAGGCCCTAAAGCTTCCTAACAGGTCCAAGAACGTATTCATATACAAGGTGTTCGACTACATGGAGAACGGAGGTGTCAGTGAAGCGCTTGCGAGAAAGCAAGCCCTCTAGTGGCGAGTTCGGGAAGTGACACTGCAGGACCACCCGTAGTTTCTCTTTCTAAACATATTCCGTTGCATGCATCGTAAAAATTGATTTTCCCAATCAAAAATAGAAAACAACAACAGAGTTTTGCCTCGATGGTTAAGAATCGCTGTTCTTGGGCTCTACGCGCGATGTTGCAACGATTCCGTGAGACACTTCCTCAAGTTTCCCCGTTCGCTCGGGGAATTTGCTGGTTGGTTCTATTTCTATCGAACGCGATCAAGCTCGATAAGGAATGTGAATCGTTATCTTTCGTTATTTCTAACGAGACCGGTGCAATAAATCTTTAGCGCCAGGGGTGTTGGTGTTGCCGCTTGTTCCTGTTTTTTCTTTTTTTTTTTTACACGTATCGACGCGAACTAAGCTGGCGAATGCAATTCCCATCGCGATCGAGACGTGTAATTTTTATTATTAGATCTCGTACGGCTAATTGCGAGCCGTTCCACCTTTCCCGTCAGCGAACGCGTAGCCATGAACTTCCCGCTCTGTACCCACCCGTGTAACTGCGTTTCTTTTTTAGACCGGCGTACGCGACGCACGCGCTACTGGCTTGTTACATCTTCCTGCCTCTCACGGAGAATCTGCACGCTTTCGTACTCGGGATCACGGCCACCATATGCTACCTGGCCACTCTGTCGTTGATCACTTACAGAAACACCACCGATTACACCACAAAGGTGAACTACGCAACCAGATCGGTTCTATCGATCCCCAAATCGATCCGTTCGAACGCGTTTTGCAAATTTTTCAGATCATCACGGACACGATATACTTCGTATGCGTGAACGGCCTAGGACTGTACTTTCGATTCATGAACGAGGTTTGCATCAGACGATCCTTCCTCGATCGACGGAAGTGCGTCGAGTCTACCCTGCGACTGACTTACGAAAAGGATCAAGAGGTATACTTTAACCATAAGTTCGAACGGTGTTCGAAATATTGTTGACACGCTATAAAATTCTTCAGGAACAGCTCACGCGGAGTATACTGCCGCAACACATAGCTACGAAGATCAAGAAAGACTTTCGGGATATTTTCAAGTTCATTGAGGAGCACAAGAAACCTCCGCCCAAGGGACGATCTCACAGGTACGTACTAGACCGTTTCTTTCTTCCTTATAAACTTTCCTTTATCGCTGATAATTGCACTCTTCCGCTTCTTTCTCTATTGGACACGGTTTCTAAATTTTTAACGATAGTTAAAACTTTACGTATGTATGCTCGAGTCGTTGGATTCGTAGATCTTATAATACGAAATTGCAACGCAGTTCACGTTTCTTTTCCAGCGACCTGTGCGTCGAGACGCATAAAAACGTCAGCATTCTGTACGCGGACGTGGTGAATTTTTCTGGCCTGACCGTGGCGTTACCTGTACGAAAATTGGTCGAAACGTTGAACGATCTATTTGGCCGTTTCGACGAGGCTTCCGAGAGGCACAATGTCCTGCGAATAAAGTTCCTGGGCGATTGTTACTATTGCGTGAGCGGGGTACCAACCCCGAACTCCCAGCACGCGAAGAGCTGCGTGGATCTAGGTACCTTTCGATATTTACAATTAAAAATCGATCTCCCAAAACCTGTAACCCTGTCATTCATGGCGCAGGGCTCGATATGATCAAGATCATCAAGGAAGTAAGAGAGAGACTACGCCGTGAGTGCGGAGTGGACGTGAACATGCGGATCGGTGTTCATTCTGGTAGCATAATATCGGGGATTCTGGGCGCTAATAAATGGCAGTACGACGTTTGGTCCCGCGACGTCGTCATAGCCAACAAGATGGAGCAGACTGGTAAACCGGGCAAGGTTCACGTCACCCAGCAGACGTTGGACCTGGTGAACGCGACAGAGTACGACTGCGTCCCCGTGGAGTCGTTGAACGACGAGATCCTGAAGAAGTACGACATTCGTAGCTACCTGATCACGCCCACGACGCCCGTCGACGCTACCACCACGCAGGTGCGTATTTCCCAGTGGCGTAGGAAGCCACCGGATGAACGAGAGGTAAAGATTCACGTTGGACGGACGTTCGAGGTGTTCCTACGCCACTGATCCTTATACTCGACCGTGCGAGCGAACTTCCGTTGAGCGTTTCGCATCGTTGACAAGCGAACCTTGTTGCAGAACAACGAGAACAACTTGACCGTCATAACGCCGGACTCGTCGCCGGTCGCCAACAGGCATTACGTGAGATTCTACAACGTCAGGTCCACCAGCGTCACGTCCAACTCCAGGAACAGCAGACGTTTGACCGCTACTATTAATAACCACGTCGACGTGCTGGCCAACACCTACAGACGACGAACGCACTTCATGGACGCCTGTTTGAAGGATTACCATCTGATGCTGAAAGCCGCGGACACGGAGATGGAGAATGCTATTAAGCAAATGCCGCTCACCAAGTGGGAGTGAGTTCTAACGATAGAATATGTTCGGAATAAATTATGATACAGTCGATAAAATCGCTGGAAAAAATGAATGTTTCTCCGTACGTTTCATGGTATTCCTTTTTCAGACAGTGGTTCAAATGGGAGCACATAAATCCATTGTTGTTAACGTTTCAACAATGGAACTGGGAGATTCCGTTTCTGAAGGAACCGGACCCGCTATTCAAATTTTACATCAGCTCCGCCACTTTCGTCCTGATATTTATGGGACTTATTTACTTGGTACCTACGCTTTCTTTTTCCGAGTATGTTCCCTTCGTACGAACGTCTGTTTCTAGTAACGCCAATCGAGATAATAAAAGTGCATAAACCGTATAACGATCGATCGACTTTCAGATGGCACGCGAGCACGGCGGTCAGTTATTCGGTGGCTATGTTATTTTTGATCGCTTTACTGCCGATAGCCTGGATGCATTTCGCGTGGAACTGGTACAAGGACCCTCACGACGAACACGAGGGGCAAGTTCCCCATCCACGTAATAAATTACTGTGTTTTCTCTATCAGAGCAGCGTGAAGGTCTGTATCCCTTCGTCTATCCTTCAATTACACGAAGATCCATATTAATTTCTCCATCGTACATTAGGTTGTTTGGAGCGCCTATCTCAGGACGATCCTCTACCTGGTGATAACGATAATGTTAGCGGCGTGTGCCATGTTCGATATGATCGTAAGTCACCGACAAGATGCAAAAGATACTGTAGCTAATAAAACAGCCTGTAACATCAACATTATAATTTCAGTTCGAATGTAAAAACGTGGACAAGCTTGCCAACAACAACATAACGTCCAGCGTGGCTGAGTCTGGTGCATCCGATCTCGGCTGTATAGCCACACCTTGGGTAAGATTAATTTAGTAGGTACTCGTACGCCGTAGACTTCTCCCTCTAGCCTTGGATCTCGCATAATATAGAAAAACGTTACTTTAAATATCGTACAATGATTGTTTCTTCATTTTTGTTTTTTTAGCAAATGACGCAAACTTGTTCCCTGGCAATCCTCACGAGTTTTTTGTTTCTGCGAGTTCATTACGTCCTAAAGCTAGTAATAGGCATCGCTGTAGTGGGATTTTATTCAGGGAATGTTTGGATACATCGTTCGAATTTGTTTCAGGTAAATCACGTCGCCTGTAGTATGTCTCTTAATTTCGTTGCGTACGTTTAGTCGGTGTTCGGTCGTACGCCTTCTTTTATTTGCTACTTTGTTTCCCCACAGTCGGGCGACAGGTGGAATCCGCACTTAGAACCGAGCCTGGCGCACATTTTAAGCGTAGTTTTCCTTACATTTTCTTTGCATCTCATTGACCGTCAGGTGAGCTCTCCCGAATATTAAAAAACATTACCGATTTTCCGTGGTACAACGCGTGTACGCGTGCGTTAACTTGCATGACGATTTATTCAGGCAGAGTACCTGAGCAGACTGGACTATCTGTGGAAACGTCAGCTAACGAAGGAACAGGACGAAGCGTTCCACACGAGGAACGCTAATAAACTTCTGCTACGCAACATCTTGCCTGAACACGTTGGTACGTTGATCTTTAAACGATCCTCGAACGTTAGACCAGCCAATTCTCGACATAATTGTGTATCATTCAAGTTTGTTTCCGTAGCAAAGTTCTACTTGAACATGAACAGAACCGAGGAGAACGAACCCTATCACGAGGCTCACAACAACGTGGCCGTCATGTTTGCCTCGTTGATGGATCTCTGCATCGACGAGAGCGACATCCTGGCGGACCTCAACGAGATCATCTGCGAATTCGACAAACTGTTGTTCGAGTCGCATTTTGTTTGCCGGATCGAGAAGATCAAGATCGCTGGTAAACGTTAGAAATTCCCGTGGCTAGTCGCGAGGACTATGGCTAACGTTATGATCGCTTTCAGGCACTACGTACATGGCAGCCTGTGGATTAGAAGCCAGTCGACGTGATTCGATGCTCAGTACCGAGGACGAGGAAGACTTTAACGACAACATAGTAAAAGTGATGGCTCAGTTTGCGGCTGAAATGATGGAAGTCCTAGATAAATTAAATGCTAGATCATTCTACACGTCGAAACCCTATAGGTATTTGCGTATAGAAACGCGTGAACTGTTCCAAGGATTGCAAAGTGTTTGCATGAATAAGATGAACAATTTTTCTAGGTTGAGAATTGGAATATCTCACGGTGAGGTGACGGCTGGAGTAGTGGGCGCTCAGAAGCCATTGTATGATATTTGGGGGGACGCTGTTAACATGGCATCGAGGATGGACACAACCGGTGTCCCAGGAAAGATACAGGTTCGACTAACGTACTTCTGCTTTCTTGCTTTCTTGACTTTTTTATTCACCGTTTGCTCATTCCGATGTCATTCATTGACAAACTTTTTTTCTTGTAACTGTATCGAAGAAACGGTGGTTCGAAGACACCGTCGATAGATCCTGTCGGTTTTTTTCTGTTCTCTAGGTGTCTCTCTCACGTCTCACATTTCCCTTTAAATTCATGTTGACGGAGCTCGCATAATTTCACATTTTCACTGAGTGAAATCGAACATAATTGGGTGAGCCGTTCACTTTCCACATTTTTATACCATTCACTCGTTCACGTTGCGAACGAACATCGGTGATCGAGAACACGAATCGCTGAAATATCAAGTTTCTAATGCTTTTTCAAATATTTGTTAAAAATAAATTTGTCGAACCACACAGCGCATTGTTTTGCTCCAACGAGATAGTATTTATACAGGTCACGGAGGAAACTGCGGCCGTGCTCGAACAGCAGGGCGTCAAGTGCCACCTTCGAGGATCCACGTACGTGAAACCAAAGGGATACGTGACGACGTATTTCGTGGGGATCGATGAGAAACGAAAGCTCCAGCGGACGGACTCCATCGAAGAAACCAGACTGTGATCGAAACAAGCTGATTTCGAACAATCGAACCTACCTCGGTCGTGGTGGCCGCGTTGATCCCGAAAGACGGTGTGAAAAGTGAGACATTAGGTATCTAGGTGAACGCAGAAAGACAGAAAAAAGAAAAAAAGAAAACCAAAGAAAATTCGAAAGACCAAAGAACGAGAAGCACAGTTGTACAGCTGTAATTCTGTGTGGAATACCTCAAGAAAAAAAAAGAAAAAAAAAAAAAAAGAAACAGTGATATGCAACGTTGTTGTGAATCGACAAAAAGGAATTTTAAATAGCATCTTTTTACGAAGGAACTGAGAATGATTTTATACGACCAGTACATGTGTAAGAACAGCTTTATACGCAACGCGTGAATGGTCGAGATATTGTCATCACCGAACAAACATTTGATTTGTGTATTTAGAACGTTTATATTGTACATAAACAAACGTGTTTTTAAATGGTTACACTCGGGAGACGCTGTCCTTAAACGATGCACAACCCAGTTGAAAGTACGATGTAATTAATCATCGGTTGTATGATTCAGGGAGAAAAGGATTTGTCGATAGTCGTAAATCTGATCAGTAAACAAACGATACGGTTTCGAGTTTCGGTCAATTCCTTTCCTGCCTACGTTCGCATTGGTAATTGTTTGCAAGCGACAATTCAACACTTAGTGATTCGAGAGATAATCAAAACAGATGCATGTGTTTTATTTGTGTCGATGCATGCGAATGATAACGACGTTTCTCAGCTGTATGTTAAATGTACGATGTACCGTGTCTGATAAAGAAAAAAGGTAGATAGTTCGAGATATTTATTAACGTAGACTCTGGATACGAGAAGGGTTCTTTCGGACGAGCATCTGCGCGAACTAGTACGTTTGTCCCTTTTCTCGCACTTGTATTCACTTTTTCAATCGAAAACCTCTACATTACGTGCAAATTTACTCCGAGATTATAGTAAAGATTCAGCCTTGTATAAACGCACAGTTTCGTGCTTCTATAAATGGCTAAACGAACCAAAGTGCGAAAAAGAAAGAATTATTCCTGGGAAAAATTTTAATGGGGGATTCTGGAGGCCAAAATAAGACGAAAATCAAGAATACTAATTTGTTGATGGAGGCTTCGTTAGAAAGTTATTAACGTTTAAAGTTCCGCTTGTGGAACCACTATCGCGCGCACGCAGCTGTGCGCAGGCGCAACTATAAACGTTAATAACTTTTTAACGAAGCCTCCATCGACAAATTGGTATTCTTGATTTTCGTCTTATTTTGGCCTCTAGAATCCCTCATTAAAATTACACCCTGTATATTGCTCGCGAGACGTCGTCTGAAAGAGGTCGGATTTGCGAGACCACCGATTTTATTCAAACCTTTTCTAATGATTCCAGAGCAAAAAAAAACCAGTGTATTTAACATATAATTCTTGGATTTCTATATATGTAGTTTTTTGAAACAATTTCAACGGCTGTGACAGCGATTTCACGAGGTGAATTTGATTTGCAAAATGATAAGTTTAATCTGCGAAAGGGTGAATTGTTTTGTATAGAAATCCAAAAAAGAAAATTTGAATAAAATCGGCTACTCCACAGATACGACCTGTCCTCGCAATTGATAAACGTTTTGTAAACCTATCCATATGTTCGGATGTTTCGATAATGTCATTGTAACCCGAAGGTGCTCGTAAATTTTAGAACTCAGCCTCGAAACATCTGGACAACTTGAAGTTTCCTTTCGTTAACGTCCACGAGAAGTTTTCGCTCAAACACGTTCATCTAGGATACTATAATTTCATTCGATGTACATAAATTCTTTCCTCATAGCATCAGTACGTTTTTTTAAATAGCTTTCTATGCTTTCAATTGCAGAAGCAGGGTGAAACCTTTTTTAAAAAAAATATTAGTTGCAACCGTGAAACGCCACGAATTTCAAACTGTAAAAGAATCGTACTTAATCGATAAGTTTTAAATAATTCTTCCCGCTTTTAAAGATAATACGGTCCATGTATTTCCATTTAACGAATCCAACGAGGATAACAGGAGAATTTTTTTTTTTTTTATTAAACAATTTACCAAGCTACATCGTATTCTTGTTCCCGACGTTTTAATTTTTAAATTGTACGTTTGGTAAAACTGACCACCCCCGTACCCCGATCGTAATAAACAACTGCGACTTTATTTTTCTATAAAGTATATTATTGACGTGACCAGCTCTCGTTTATTTCCATGTAAATACTTTTGTACATACATTTTTTTAAATATTAGAAATAATGACCAATGTAATTATTTAACAATTTGAATAAAGTATTTATTACCATCTGCGCAAGATACAAATACAATTGATATACCATGGAGAAGTACCTTGTAGTTTATTTTCTCTTAATTCGTTTAATCCCTCGCGCGAATAAATATTTTGTTCAATAGAAATCATTGTGTTGAAAGATAACGTCGATTAAATTCGAAAATATGTGTTTTCAGCATTCTGTTCGATCTGATCGAACAGGCTCTCACGGTACAGAATGCTTCTACGTAGCAACGCCAGCAATTAAGGATATTTTTAGCTAAACAGAAAAGAAACAGCATAGTTGGAGGGAAATTTTTTCGTCGTTACGTGCCCCATTCAATAATCGCGTACATGCGTGTATCTAACAAAAGATCGCACGATTGTCTACGCGAATTAGAATTGTTTCTTAACTTCGTGGCAAATGACCGCGAGAAGATGATTTCACATGCGTAGTGGCCTCGTTTTTCGCTGGAAAGTACAGTTTATTTATCTGGACGTGACTGCTCGCGTATAATTACGTATAAGCCGTGACGAACGGTAACGGCTATATTCATTCAAGACCTGCCTAACGCTTTATCGATTTACGGTGAAGTTTTAGAGCTTCGCGTAGTGAACTTGGTTCATTTCGAAGAGCAACATAAAGATCGATGCATATACCTAGCCTTTTTCACGAGAAATAGTTTTTTCGACGGTAACTGTACTACCATGAGTCATCCCGTGAATCGAACGTCCCACTAAGTGATTCCTTTGACAGTAGCGCGATAACGTAGTAGATAACAATTGTTTGCCATTTTTGACATTTAAATTGTCATCAGGTTTTCCATTACCGTGACGCTACGCTCGAATTCTGGATTTCACGCGACGAGAAAGCGAAGAACGGTTAACTACGATTACAATTACGGGACGTTTTTATTCTCAGGTTCAACGTGTCAAGGAATTTGTCGAAAACTAACAGAAGTGACTTTTATCACGAATGGATAACTCGATGTATTAACCAGTGGAATAAATAACCTCTAACGCAGGGGTTACTATCTTTTTTTGTACATTGACGAATATTTCGTTAGTTATAACCTAGACTAAATAAAATACAAGCCAATATGGATATCGGGTTCTCATCGTACCACAATGGTGGTCCTGCGAGGGAACAAGACCAAGGTAGACTCTCTCAAACGATTGGCACGTCAATTTTGAAGATATCTCAAAATGGTAAGTACTTGGATTCCGTCTGTATCAATGAATACATGTTATACATTTTGAGTTACGTCCGACAGTATCTTCGATGCAAAAGATGGTCAACCAATTGGGGAGTTCTACAGACTCTCAGGAACTTCGAAATCAATTGTATGTATGAAAGTATGAGTATCCATTTTGAACGGTCGCTTCATCTAATAAACTTTTCAGGCATCAAATACAACATTACACGCAGCAGCTGGCAAAAGATACAAGCGTACATCTTCGAGACTTGGCTGTATTAGCTAACAATTCGGGCTCGACCAGCCCTGGAGAACAAAGGCAGCGTAAGATGCAAAGGGAACGTCTGCAAGATGAATTTACTAGTGCACTGAACTCATTTCAAGTAAACTTGAATCTACTATTATCTTCGTTATGTGATAATATGCGTACCTGTTTAGATAAATTTATCTATGTATTGTATTAGGCAGTGCAAAGGCTTGCAGCTTCCAAGGAGAAGGAAATGGTCAGGAAAGCTAAAGCAAATGTTGGTATCGCACCGTACGGAGAAAAGAAACAAGAAACGTTGATAGAATTGCAAGATAGTAGAACTCAGAAACAAATACAGCAGCAACAAATGAAAGACGAACAAAATTTGCGAATGTTGGAGGAGCAAGAAGCAAGCATAAGACAATTGGAGGTAAATTTATTTAATCACTATCTATCACAATTGTTATGGATTTCAGTAAAGTATCTGTTGTAAATAATTGTTTTTGTAGAGTAATATCAGCGATATTAACCAAATTTTTAAAGACCTCGGTACTTTAGTATACGATCAAGCAGTAGTAATTGATTCCATAGAAGCTTCTGTCGAAAGGACAGAGGTGTCTGTCAGTGAAGGTACTTCACAAGTCAGGCAAGCGAGTATCTATAAAACTAAACTGCGCAAGAAAAAATGTATACTTGTTATTATCGGAGTTGTTATACTGTCTATATTAATCGGGATCATAGTTTGGCGGAGCTCTTAAATCTATTCATGCCGTCGATGATACACACGCGCGAGTAGTGAGACGTTAAAGGTGTAGCTGCATCTTAATTGCAAGGTACCATAAGTTGGTGTATTTTGATGAAACCCCTATTTTAATTACAAATTGCTTTACGAGTATCTGGGAAGCATAGTACTATCAAAGAGAATGAACGCAAAGAAACTTGCATCGTTCTGTATCTTACCGATAACATTCTTGTAATTGTGATAATAAATGGTGCAAGATCTATTTTGCAAGTAAGGTGTACAATGGCAAGCCTTAGATTGCCCTGTCCATTTGTAACTTTCATTACTCATTGCATAATACTGATGCGTAAAGACACGTATAAAAGTATATACACATATGCATAGGTCTATCAGTGGTGTAGTCGTGATTAATATCCCATATGGTTTTATGAAATATACTCGGAGAGTATTGAGATTCATTTCAAGCATTGCTAATATGCGCTGTAAAATGCGAATCTTACGTGAAGTGTATGAGTCAGTATGGATGGATATGTTGATATAATCATTGTATAGTATGTAAACGCGTTTTGAACGTCCTTCGAAGTCTTATTGATAATAACAAGGTGATCAATTAAAGATACGTGAAACAACAAAAGAATATGAATGAAAGATCGATGTAAGTTAATGTATTATATTTAAGAATGTTGATTTATTTTAATCAAAATGTAATAAACTATATAATGCAAATTACATTATACCAAATTTGAACAAAATAACTACAATTAATATTCGATCCGAACATTTTTTTTTCTTCTTTTCATTTATCTTCTTTATTCATTTTAATTGAATACATTTTCAAGAATTTATCTGAACGTTTCTTATTTTATATAATTCAAAACTCTTGCATTTAAATGAACGTGCGCGCCATATCGTTTCATATCGAAACGCGTTGCGATTTATCGATTAGATGGCGGTTATTCGCGGGACATGCCACTTTATTGGTTACCTGCAGTTACCTTTATATTGTTTGACAGTTTGGATCGATTTGGTACTGTGCTCGGTAGTGATGGAGTTCCATTAATTGTTTCGTTTGTAAATACCTAGAAAATTAAGCAGGTCGGAATAAAGGGAGAGGAACACTGAATGATCCGTCTAACGATATAATGTTGAAACACATTTCCCTCGTAACGGCGATCATATTGATATCCTTGTCGCAGTCTGAGGTTAGATTATCTGCTTACCAGTAAACGATACCTAATCGATACAATATATTATCCGCGCAAATGATTTTAGGCACAATATGACGACAAACGATGCAAATGCATTTGCCCTGGACTTTCCTCCGTGATAAATACAACGCAATCGTCGCTGGACCGACAAACGTACATCATAAATGTTCCGCCTTCCCAATGGTAATCGAAATTCCTCTTATTTAATTATAGAACTTAATCGCCTGCGACAGATGCGGAATAAATCCAGCACGGCGTATGGCCTAATTTACATTTTAATTTGCAGTAACTGCGAGGGTGTCGTGTTGTCGAGAGTGGGAGATCAAATAAAAGGCAAGGAAGAAATTTTTTGCTCGCGATGCGACTGCAAATATGAAAATAGAAACACCACTATTATCAAAGTAAGTGTTTCGTATCTCTTACGAGGGAACATCGAAACTTGTTCGCCTCGGAATCTTATGAAACGCAAAGTTTGATAGAATTCCGAGAGGTATAAATTTTCATGTTCCTTCGCTAGCGGGAAATATTCAGAAGTAACTACTTCATCTTTGCAGATAGTGGTGATACTTGTTATTTGGGTTATATCCCTTTTAGTAATTTATATGTTATTCTTAATATGCTTGGATCCGTTACTGAATAAAAGAATCCATAAAGCTTCCGCGAATATCGGCTATCAAGAACATAATAACGAAGAGGTATGTTGATGTACAGTCTATAAGAAACGTATTTGAGAAATTAACATGTTCGCTATCACCGTTTGGTTGGAAAACTATCTGCGAAACATGCTTCTAGTCGTGTACAAATGGAATATATTTGATAGATCGACTAAATATATCGGACACCAGTTTATACTTAATTTGTGTACCGAAGTATAAAATAGGCAACGTGACCTGTGGTAGCGAACGTGTTAAATTAAAAATATGTTTGAAAGACTGAATGATCGACGAACAGTTTTATGGTAGACTCGACGAGTGTGTATAATAATCGTGTAAATTATTTTTAAACTGAATAGGATGACACATCCATTACCCCTGGAACGTCTCATCCTATGCGCGAAAGAGGTAATGTTTTAAATCGCGTCGGTCACCAGCAAGACAAATGGAAACGTCAAGTTCGTGAACAACGACGTAACATTTACGATCGTCATACCATGCTGAATTAAACTGTACAGATCTGTCTCTAGAAAGGATGAAGTATAATAACGATACAAGGGCCGTGACGTTCGTTTGAAGGCATTTGCAGTATTGTATATATAATGTTTTTTTCTTAGTTTCTTATATATAAACGTGGAAATTTCATTCTGCTGTATGTAACGAGTAAATAAAAGTCTGTTTGCTCGCGAATGCCAGCAAATCAAGACACGGTCAATGCGTTAACACTGAACATACATAGATATCCAATACTTTTAAGATTCATGGGATCCAGTGTATAAAACAATAAAACATTGAAAACGTGTTATTTTTATCGGTAAATGTACAGACATTCTCTTGTGAAGCATTTACTTAGGAAATAAATTTAAATATCTTACAATGTCTTTTATACTAGTTACGGCAGGAGCCTAGATAATTTTATTAGTTTAGAAAGAAATAGTCTGAAATTTATTAATACTTGTCTACGGTCATTGCGTAGAGAAATTAATATTTTAGTATTTATTTCAATTTAATTTGACTGTATAAAGTAGTTTAATATTAGATGTAATCGAGGTGTAGAGTTAGTTGGATCGCGTAGGCGAATCTTTTTTAGTTAGCAGTTCATCAATTTTATGTTTCATCGTATCGTACAAAGTTAAAACTAATGCTCCGCCGGTTCCCCTAAGAACATTTGAAAGCGACCCTCTAAAAAATGCTCCGATTCCTTCTGTTTTGGCTGTTTTAACCCAACAGTCCAATGTATTTTTATACATTATCTCTGTTTTACTGAGCCCCGATTGCATCATCATACGTCTTCTAACAGTATCAAAAGGATACGATATGATTCCAGCAACTGTTGTTACTACCTATGGATATTACGTGTGAAAATTATGCAAGTAAATTCATAATTTAATGTAACTTGCCTGCGCGATTAGAAATGTAATATACAATGGAGTATTCTTTGGATCGGGTAGCATGCTTTTCGAAGTGTCGTAAAGACCGAAATACGCTGCTCTGTAAATGATGATCCCTTGAACGCTTACGTTAAAACCCCTGTATAACCCAAAGAAGCCGTCAGTCTTGAAAATTTTTACCAAACAATCACCCAGACCTTTAAACTCTCTTTTATCTGCTTTCCCAATATCCGCGGCTAATCTGCAGAGCGAACCAATTATTCTATTGCTCAAAGTGAAGAACAGACGTACAGAGTACCTTGTACGAGCAAAATCAAGCGGGTAAACAAATAACAAAGACGTTGCACCGGCAGCGCCACCGGATGCTAAGTTGCCAGCGAACTGTTTCCAAAATGCATCTTTCGGCACACCCTCCAAGAACAAAATCTTGAATTTGTCTTTAAACGCAAAGTTCAGCGCTTGGGTTGGAAAGTATCGGATAACATTAGCTAGATTGCCTCTCCAAAAACTGATGAAACCAGTTTCTTTCGGTATACGTATAAATGCATCCATCATACCTGATAAAATTTCAATTTTATTAATAAGAATATGTAGCGTATTGGTTTGTGATTTAGATGTACCCTTGTACCGCTGTTCCGGGCGTATTTGTTTCGAAGTGGCTTGTACTTGAAGCAACAGCTTCACTCTTTCTAACGGTGCGACTGCAGTTTTCGAAACGGCTGCAGATATCCCACCGGCTAAAAAATCTACTAAAAATGATTTATTCGCATCCATATTACTAATAAATTTTTTTAAACTCCTTCGTTTTGCGGTATATACAAATGGTATCGTATCAAATTGCAAATCATAATGTAAATTTAATTTTATGATTAGATCTTGATTTCTTCGTAGAATGCATTCGATCGCGTTGAAATTACGAACAGAATTTGTGTAAATAAGCAGTAACCCCTGTTCGACAAGAGCCCCCTTACGACAGTTTAGTTCGCAAACTCTGTTGTTTTTTTTTTTTTATATTTTTGTTTTCTTACGACAACAGGGTGGGTAAATTAATATAGAACGATTTTTAATTTTAGTGTTTAATAGCTTTACGTAAAATCAAATCTTTCTCATCAATTTAAGGCGTCAAATTGGTCATACAAATTTTGTCGTCAAAGCTCTCGAACATGTCTCGGGAACTATGAATAATTTCTTTTTTTTTTTTTCCGTACAAAGAGTTAGATCACAGTAAATTCTAGCTAAAATCGACGCAAAATATATTAATGCATCTTTAAATGTAGGAAGTTATAACTAAATGTAAAGATATTTAAACTTCGGGGACTAGACGTAATTACTCAACATCAAACCACATTGAACGAGTTTCGGATATTAGCACTTTCGTTTCTAGAACGCTGATACCCGTTAATTGTATCAATATAATCGGAAGGTACATATAGCATATTTGGAGGAATGTTTCGGCACATAGTGGCAAAGTTATATACGCGTGGACAAAACTTGGACCGTCTTTGGTCAATACGAGATTCAAAAAGATATATTTCATTATATTGTTGCTCTCTTCTCTTCTAAGTGCATAAAATACTGATTGGACAAAAAACGCTAATAATAGAAAATAAAATCTGATCGATTTAAACTTACATCTTAACGTAATTATAACGATAAAGTATTATAATTATTACATGATTTGGTTAAATGAAACACACGTTCACTGCCCTCCTGTAACGCAAGTATTTACAACTGCCTGCAGATAAATGAAATCACGGAATATGAAACTTGTGCGAATATATTCACGATCTATAATCTATTTTCGAAAATGCACACCGATTTCAATTTACTTATCTTCAAAATATTCATTCAAAATTGCCGCTAATTAAATTCCATTTCTATTACACGCAAGTAATTGGCAGTGAAAGTAGTGAATCCGTTGTTCAACGAAATATCATCGAGTTGAAACTTATAAATTGACTCTAATATGCAACAGCATATTTTAAATAAATGTATATATCAAAGATTCGTTAAATACATCGTACAAGTACGGATGTGGCCAGGAAGTGTTCGGAATTTTCATATACCGTGTTTATGCAGCATGAATAGACTGTAAAAAGAATTTACGGTTAGGTTTTCTTGCATCGATATAATTATAATCGCCATTAGACAGACGTACCTGTGCAATATCGATGCCAGTTAAAGTCTTAACCATATCCGGTACAAGTGTGACGATACTAAGAACTTCCCCGGTTAATTTCTCTGCTCCGATAGTGGCGCTTCCGTTGGAAACCATTGTTATTTTCTTTGCTTGCGACAAAGGTGCTGCGACTTCAGCAGCGACCTATCAAATAAAACGTGTAAAAAGTACTCACGCTTTATAACAATAAAAATAAAAAATTGAATAATTACTTTTGGAAGAGTATCGAGTATCATGTCTATCATAGCAGCACTTTTGTACTCTTTCCATGCAGCAGCTTTCTTCGCCATTTGCTCCGCTTCCGCTTTAGCCTTCGCGTCGATAGCAAAAGCTTCCGCGTCGCCGCGAATTTTTATTGCCTTCGCTTCCGCTTCCGCTTCCATTATCAAACGCAGTTTATTCGCTTCCGCCATTTTTTCCAACCTATAAACGCACAAACGTTTATCGATGTATATTTTGTAACGTTTAAAAGTTCGTACAACTTGCCTGTATTTTTCTGCGTCCGCTGGTCGTCGTACGGTCGCGTCCAATTCTTTTTCGCGTCTCAACATTTCTTGCTCCTGCACCGCGATCTCCTGTCCGCGTTCTATCACCTTCACTTGCATCTGTTCCTCCATGATTCTTTGCTTGGTTTTAGCGGCTTGTAACTCGTACGCCATCTCTGCTTCCGCTTTCTATAAATAACATAGAGCGTGGAAGAAAAATTGATAAGCATGTTGTTTTCACGGGCAAGAAAGAAAACACACTTTAGTTTGCACTTCGACGTCGTAAGCGGCCTTTTTCAGTTCGAAGTCTCGTTGCGCTTTGGCAATCTCGGTGTTGTTTTGGAAACAAGCGGCCATTCTTTGCTCCTCGGCTATGGCTTCGCGGATCTGAGCGTCTTTGCGAGCTTCCGCCTCTCCCATCCTCGCGTCGCGTTTCACTTCAGCGGTCCGCGCCATTCCAAGGGCCTTCAGATATCCCTATAAATAATCAAGAAATATTTAACTCGATAAAATAGCTAGCGATCAACACTATGTTATCGATATGAATTTTGAATAACACCGATATCAGCATTTAGTTATTAGTCAGCCGGAATTACACAAAGGCGGCACACAATGAAAAATATCGTATCACATATATTTAAATGACACAGGTCTGCAATGTGTATAGAAATATTGTGCTACCATTGAAGCAAGCACTTGATATTCGCTCTAAGTCCCTTCGTTATTTAAACGTTAACACTTTTCGCTAACATTGGCCGAATAGCAGTGCATTGGCATTATATGTAGTGATGAAACAAAATTTGAACGTACCTTTGCCCCCTGCAAGTAGCAAAACAAAAATTGTATTCAATATTTACAATGTAAATGATTTGGACTACATTAACCGATATTAATTAATATTACTTATAAATATCACGCAACCAGTTAAAGGGGGACTTTTAGTGGCGTACAAGCTATTAGTACATTTGCATTAAAAGATAAGTCGATCAAGACATGTTTATGTTCTAGTACTTGAATTCTTTTTCTAACTTTCTGCGTAAAACACTTCCTGGATTGAAAATGAATATTTCTCGATGGACAAAAAGGATTAACTTACTTCCTCGTCTCGGATATCTTTTAATGTATAGGACACAACTGTAATGCCCATGTTGACTAGATCGCTGCTTGCTACTTCGAAAACCTCCTTGCTGAACTTTTTGCGATCCTTGTATATTTCCTGCAACGTAAAAGCGAATTAGATTCGAGATTAGCTCTGTGTCTGCCGTTACATGCGGGGCGCGAAACCCTACAAATTTTGGGGAAATTTACTTCAGATGGCTAGGGACATAATTGCGTGATTGGTTGATCATTCAATTATCAGAAGTTTCGAAAAACTTGGAAATATCGGGATCCCGTGTACCCTTAATTAGATAGCAACGATTCATTTCTTGTTCATTATACCTCCACAGTCATGCTTCCCATTATTGCTCGTTGGTGTCCCTCTAGCGTAACAAGGGCGATATTATGAATCTCTTCTTCCGATTTCCCAAGAAACTGTTCGCACGCGGTTGAAAGCATTTCTTCGTTTTGTCCTTGTATCTTCACCTTTGAACAAACGGATAAATATTTTTAAATTATTTTTACACGTACAAGTCGATTTTACACATTACCTGCGCTATTCCCGTCACAGATATCGGAACTCCTTGACACGTATATACAGTTGGACTTTCTACTTGTAAAGTCATGGTGTTCAATGAGATTCTGGAAAGATGCGATGTTTCTTTGGTAAATGTAAACAAAATTATAAATTTTAATTTTTTTTTAAAAATCGTTAAATAAATATTTTAATGAATTTTTTAATGTTTAGTGTGGTATGCTTACTTTTGCACTTGCTGAACGATAGGCCATACAAATACCCGGCCGCCGGGTACCAAAAGAGGTTTGCTGTAGCAGCATCCTTAAAGAGACGAGAGTAAATCGTAAATCGTAAATCGTAAATCATTGAGGAAAAAATTGAACACAATAGCATAGCAAGTTATAGCGTACGATCTTGTATAGGCTTGAATTTACGTTTAAGGGATACTCGAAACAAGTAAACAGTTAATTAAAATATAAAATAATGAAGTTGGATGGCGATAGTGCGAAACGAATAGGTACAATTAACGATACAAGACGCGACTAATTGTATGATCTAAATATTTATCGCTTAATTGACACAACACCCCTCCCATGTTGACTTACGGAAAGCGTGTAGAAAAGCGAATAAATCGCGGAAATTGATGTGCATAATTACCTGAAACTACAAGGGCCTCGTTCGGACCACAAGTAACAAATCCAAAACTCATGGCCGCGAATCTAAAGGGGAACAATAATCGCTGCAAGTTTAAAGGGATTGAATTACAGCCTAATTCCACTACAGTCAATTGACGTCGTTATGATGTCGTCATTCTTCGTGATCGTATCGAAACTTATGCCGAGTTTACAATAAGCACGAACTTATGCTCGTGCCAATAACATAGTCTTCCCAATAATTCACATTAAACTATTTATTACCGTATAAAAAAATGGGCCATAAATCTTAGCGAGACGTTGCTTCGTTTTTTCGAGAGATTAGATTTCTTTCCTGCTGGTCCAAAATATTTTCGAAAATAACTCGTTTCAAATTGTTCTATATCGGTTCTAATCGTAACAGCTACGAAAAATCTTTTTCATTCTAAATAATTGTTATGTGGTAAATATTCAACAAGGGTATAAATGTTTATCGGATAAAATTTATTTAACATTTTATACACATGTATAAATAAGGTATATCGAAAAGATATATATAATCGAGTATCTATTTTACAAATAATTTCAAAATCGTCTAAACTGTTTCTTGAATCTTTCGTAGTGATAATCGTCGGTTGCTTTCTCGCCGTTATCTTTTCGTTTCCCTTTGAAGTCGTCCCTAGGCGCCGCCACTTTCTTTTTATCGTCCGATTCTTGTTTCGATTTTTGGAAATCCGCGTCCTCTATATTAACTGAAGAGAAAGATACAGTAGTTTTTATTTCGATTTTAATTAATTCAAGGAACGGACGAACATAGAAAGAAAAATTACATCTATTATGTTGTACAAAATTCACAGCCATATTGGTCGGCACAAATTGCGAGGGGCCATCTTTCTTCCTGTGCCTGTCCCAAAGTAATTTCAATTTGGCTTCTTCCGTAGCCTCGATATTCCGAATTTTTGCTCTAAATTAAAAATGAATTTCTTTTATATTTCCAATTTACTAGATTAATGAAAAACAAATAATCACGTACTCTATCCCGAGATCTACTTCCGGTATACCGGATAACATTTGATTAGAAAGCATCTCTTCGCTTCTGTGCGCGGAGCTTTGTCTTAAATGTTCAGGTACTGCTTGCAATGCTGCTTCTTCCGGCGAACAATAGGATCCCTTTTCACTGTTCGATCCGTTCTCCGTTTTCTCATCATTTTTACTCTTCCTCTTTGACAGTTCTTCTTCTATGTACTTCACCCTACAAACAAATTTATGAGTAATTATTCTATATTTTATACAGAATTACTCATACATACATTTCTTCATCTTCGTCTCTTTTATTAGTTTCCGCATTGAATTGTGTACCAATTCCTGTTTCGTAAGCGTCATTTTGTTTCAATTTTGGGTTCTTCAATGCAGCCATATTTACCATTCCTCCAGTTTTTACATTGAAGGGATCTGACTGGAAAAAACAAGGTTTTTCTAGTAGAATAATATAATCATTTGTATTACAAACCAATAATTTGTTTGAAAAACTTACTGTATTTACATCGGGTGTTTCATTTTCACCGAAAGCCAATCCGACAATGTTTATACCCTTTGGACGTTCTCTGAGCTTCTGTATAGTTTTCATTTCTTCAACTTTTTCTCTAAACAATCTCTTTACAATTAATATCTCTCGGCGAAACAATTTTTTTAAGTTCATCTGTCCATTTACCTGACAGAAGCTTCTTCGTTCTCGTCGTCATCCTCGTCCGACGACACTTTTCGTTTTCTTAAAGGTTTCCTCGACTTTTTCTTAAATTCAATTTTAATCGTACCTTCCTCCGTGCTAGTCATCTGTTCCGAAGTATATTATTTAGATCAGTTTTATCAATCACTTTGCGAATATAAGAAAAAAAATTTACCTTATCTTTGTACAATGTGTATCAACACCAATGACGTTGGCAAATTAAATAATTGCAGTTTAACATCAATCGCAGTACGCGTCTCGAGCGCTTCACGAAAGATCACAATGTACACAGCGCGTAGTTAGTTTTGATCAGTGAATCCATCGCTCCGTTTATTTATGTTCCACGAACTATAAATTTATTATAGTCAGGGTCATTTTAATACGTATCCACGCGTGCATGCAGTGACATATGCAACGCGAGAAAAAACTAAAAAGACCCCTGTTTCTTTCGTGTTAAATTTCAACAGTACGAACCGATCACACGTTGCACTTTATCTATGGCGTTCCACGTGAGAAATGCACGTGTGCACGGTTCGATGTCAAAGTGTATCGTTTGTGGAAAATTTGTTCTATAAATGACAGATCGACTTGATTGACTCGATTTCAACGCGTCTTAGAAACCATGAAGAACAAACCACTTCGTCACAAAGAATCGAACACCTTTCAGGTACGAAATACGAAATCTAATTATACGATCGTCGTAACGCGAAGTGTTTTTGAAATGTTTTTCTCTTTCGTAGTTCAAATCATTTTCTGAAAGGGTGAATGACATCGACGTTGATGTGTTTCACCGTGTCGCTCATCGAAATGAAGAGAACGACGAAGAAGTGGAAACGTACTTCCACCAGACTCTTAAGAAATGGAATTTTCTTAACCTCACAGAGGGTTACTGCAGCTTTAAAAAGAAAGTTCGCGATATCGTTACTCTCCCGCAATTGATCAATCAGAAGCAATTTGTGATCGACATGTTAATAGAATATTTAGAGAAGAAGGATGTTCTGTTCCTGCAACCAATTTTAGAGTAAGTGTTTATATTTCGATCTCCCGTTGTAAACTAAAGAATCATAGATATCATGTATATGTTACAGTGAAACACAGAAATCTGGAGAATGTCGACTTTCACATAGTCGCTTAGTGTATGTCCGAAATATTTGCTAAATACCCTTATTTCTGACTTACACCGGTAAATGTTGACATTCACCATGCACTAATGGTGAGTGTTGAACATGTTGGAGATTTATATTTTCTTCTACGTAATTCAGTCGCTATAAAACGTCACAAGGGTGACGTAACTTTTTCGCCTCTCTTTCTGAAAGGATCTAACCCAGACCTAACCCAGACCTAACCCAGACCTTTTGTACGTGGGGAAATCCTCATGGACACCCGCGGGCCCACCCGATGGGCGGGCCGGCGGGTAGTGCCGGACTCTTACCGGCTAAAACCCCACGGTGACCATCCTCAAGCGCTTGGCGAGGGACCGGGAACTCTAGTGAGACATCACAGAGTCCCTCGCCGCGCCGTGCCTTTTCAGGCCCTCCCCGGTGAGAGGCAATCCTCCCACCGCATTTCCACTCAACCGCAGGCGCCTGGTCACCAGCGCCCGCGGCCCCGTGACATGGGACTAAGCCGCCGGCCGCGGGGCCACGTTGGCCGCAGGACACACCCGCAGCCAACTGGCCAACCTGCGGCCTTAGGTCAAACCCGCGGCAAATATCCCATGCCCCAGTCCACTCACACACACATTCACACGCGCAACGCATTCATACCGGTGTTTGGTCCGCGGGAGCTTTCGCTCCGACCTCCGGGATGCCATGCGAGGATGCAGCCACCAGCCTTCTCAGGTTGATGACCCCATCTCCGCATCCCATCCCAGCGGCTGCCCCTATCCGCCACCTGGGGACGCGCCACGTAGGGGTTCACCTCCCCTGCCGCCTGGACAACCAAACGGGTGCGTGGAGACCTAACCCAGACCTAACCCAGACCTAACCCAGACCTAACCCAGACCTAACCCAGACTTAATCCAGATCTAACCCAGACCTAACCCAGACCTAACCCAGACCTAACCCAGACCTAACCCAAACTTAATCCAGACCTAACCCCCGTTATCTGGGTCAGGTCTGGGTCAGGTCTGGGTTAGGTTTGGGTTAGGTTTGGGTTAGGTCTGGATTAAGTCTGGGTTAGGTCTGGGTTAGGTCTGGAATAAGTCTGAATTAAGTCTGGGTTAGGTTTGGGTTAGGTCTGGATTAAGTCTGGGTTAGGTCTGGGTTAGGTCTGGAATAAGTGTGAATTAAGTCTGGGTTAGGTCTGGGTTAGGTCTGGGTTAAATCTATTTAAAACAAAATATATCTATTCCCTGGGGGAATAAGGTTATCTATAAATCCAGACCTAACCCAGACCTAACCCAGACCACTCTGTTATTAAATAGGATTTTTGAGTCATATAAAATTATTTCATAAGAATTTTATTGTATACCAGGTCTGGGTTAGGTCTGGGTTAGGTCTGGGTTAGAAAAAGATCACGATTTACTGCAGTATCCATTTAGTATAAATTAGGGTATCGGGAAAAAAATTAAGAAAACGTTGCTCGCGTTATCAAAGCTTGCATAAGACTGACAAAGCTGATTGACTCCGAGCAGAACAAAGGATTTGGCGGGAGAGAGTCAGTCGCTTGTTTTTTGACTCTTCTGTTTTGGACCTCCACCAGAGCATATCTGTGATTGTCGACACACACCGGAGAGGGTCCGAATGTACAACAATGTAATGAAATATTCGATCTTTCACCGACGTATTTGGTATCTGTTGACATTCACCGGTGAAAGTTGACATTCTCCAACTTCGGTCATTCACGGTAACATATACGTAACGTTCATCTTTAATCTTAAGATCATCGACCATGACGATACGCTAAAATATCTAGTTATTATTAATTTTTTATTGTAGATTAGTAGTTGCTGTGTCGAAAGATCTACAGAAGGATTTTTACGAATACTTCCCTCGTTTTTTATCCGTTATCGTGGATTTGTTGCAAACAAAAGATACGGATCAATTAGAATACACGTTTACGTCGTTGGCTTATTTATTTAAGTTCTTATGGCGGTATTTGGTTAAAAACGTTAAGACCGTATTCGACCTGCTGCTGCCATTGTTGGGAGATACGCAGCCAGTGTATATAAATAATTTTGCTGCCGAAAGTTTTGCTTTCGTTGTGCGAAAAGTCAAAGACAAAGATTCTTTTTTAAAGACGCTGTTGCTTATCCTGAAAGACAATTCTAACGGAGTTCCAGGATGTGGCAAATTGTTGTTCGAAGTAATATCCGGTATACCGGGACAATTTCATTCGTGCGCGGAACAAATGCTCACGTCGTATCTTATCGTATTGAACGACGAGTCTGTCGATCAAAATTTAACGTTCAAATTGACGAAAGAAATTGTTAACTGTTTGGTAGAAAATATACATCCGCAGAAGTGTAAAGTATTCTGGACGGTGCTGTTAAACGTTATGGATCCGTTTATCGGAAAAACGAGAAAGTTCCAACCAGCTGCCGGAAGAGAAAAGAGCTTGATTCTTCTAATGCAATTGTTATCTATAGCGATTAATCACAAAAATGGAAAATTGGTCGTGGATCCTGTACCTCTGCTTAAAAAGCTGACGCAAACTCTAGATATTTTCGAAAACGATAGCGACGTATTAAGAGAAATTATAAATGTAGTTGTTGCTATTCTTTTAGCAACCAACGTTAAATTGATGCAAGAGACATCCAGCCAGATATTAATTAAAGTTATGGCAGTGAAAGATGTTAGGTTGTTGTACGACGCTGTGGAAAGTTTGATGCATTACTCGGCGTTTGAAACTTTGATACTATCCCATATATTACGACACAATATTACTAACGACTTCAACAATGACAGTTTACAATTGTTTACAAAAATAATTAAGGAAAAAGCACCATTGTGTATAAACGGTATCAATTTAAATAAATGGAAGAAGTATGTTTTGGATGTACGAGGTATAAAACCAGATAGTATTAACTTCCTCCTGAAGGAATTGAAAACTTTATCGGATAATAATATATCGACAGATGCATTAAAAATATTAATCATTCTGCCGCATTTGAAACCTTTGCCTGAAGAATCCAAAGATATTTTAAAAGAGGGAATATCGTCCTTATATAAGCAGATATTGGACAACGATAATACGGAAAATAACGAAGCTAAACTATGTTTTACATTCTTGTTAGCTTTGGAATCAGCAATCCATATTTTTGAACCTGAAATTTTGCAGGAGTTCATGAAAACGCGTGATATAAAAATACTGGATCTTATAGCCAAATACCCTGACAATAAATTGATTCTGAACGCGGTAGATTTGTGTATAACATATTTTAGTACATCGCAGCAACGGGAAATGTACATAAATCAAATCGTATTCGACAATTTAAACAACGTCGTTGCTCGAAAATTGAGTTCCCCTTTCGGTGAAGTTCGTTTAATCGTAACTCATTTGTACTCGTTGTATTCTGACGTCAGAGAAATTACATCGTTCGTTCCAAGTACTGGAAAAAATGCCATGGGACTTATGTACTTGGCGGAATGTGAACCTATAACTGTGCATAATTACCGGGACAGATTATTGCACTTGCAGAGTTTAGTGTTTGAAAGTAACGCAGTGTCCTGTTTACATCCCAAGTACAATGAACTTCCACTGCGGTATTTGTTGGGGAATTTGTATATAAACTTTTCTATACTATGGGAACCCGTCAGCAAGATCATAGCTACATACGCTGTCAAAGAGTGCGAACAGTTTTGGCCAATATTCTTAACAGAATTAAAATGTAATTACAAAGGGACCGTAGATCATGCTCCATCGTACGACTGCGTTGTTATTTCCAATATAGAAGACACAATGCGAAAGAGCAACGACAAACAAGATTACGAAAACAATAAAATACTTTTGTGGAAGTGTATGGCACATTTCTCACATTTCTGCGAAGCGAAGAACAGGGACATAACCGGATTGTTCATAGACCATGTGAACGACAATTTCTTCCAGTCAAACTCCGAAGATGCTAATTGTTGTAGTATTATGAAGACTCAAGAGCTAAATACTTCCGACAGTAAATTAGAAATTGATGAGGAGTCCGAAGAGGATGAAATGGATGAAAAGGAAGAGGAAGAAGCTACGGTTCCTGCAAATACGAAGCGTAAGCAAATAGATGCAGAGCTTAAACAAATGTTTGCAGCGAACAGGGGTTACAAAAGGAAACTTTTGATCGCGCAGATGGCGATATTTGAGAAGGCAACGAATCCAAGAACGTTGTACAGGGAATCGGAGATGCAGAGAATTTACTTGGATTTATTGTCATCGAAGAACCCTGATATTCAAAGGGCTGCTTTAAATTGCCTTCTAGCTTACAAGCATAAATATCTGTTACCGTACAAAGATACTCTGTGTAATATAATTGGCGATAAGAATTTAAAAAACGAGCTCACGCGATTCAAGGTCGACAACGAGAGCAACATGATACAGCTCGAACATCGGGGCGAATTCATACCTATATTGATGAGAGTGATTTATGCAAAAATGGTTACGAAAACAGGAATGAGGACCGGTGGTAAAATTGGAGGAACCGTGAAACGTAAAATGATCTTACGTTTCCTGGCCGGCACGCAAGAAAACGAGATGATCGTGTTTACCAAAATGGCGTTCAAACCATTCAATAAGTATATGTCGCTCGAATCGTACGAAAACTTAAATATAAAGCAACTCACGCTTGATATTATTAATACAGTCGATTTGAACAATGTCACTCCGCCTAAACGTTTGCTGAGCGCGACAAATTTACTTGGAATTTTGATAGAACAATTTGGTAGCAAAATGACTAGCAAGCTGCTACCTTATTTGCTTGGTTTGGTGATTTGCAATCTAGCAGAGGTTACTGGGATCTTACAGAAATCAAATAAAGTTCATGCTGGTTACTTGTCGTGTATAAAAAGGGTACGAGTAAGTTGCATCTTGATATTAGCAAGGTTCTTCGATCATTTCAAGGACTATCCATGGAGCGAACATGAATTAGACGCCATGTTTAACGTAGCAGTGTTTCCATGGGTGGAGAAACTGCCCATAGATGGTATACACAGCCCCACACCATTGTTAAAGCTGTTTCTATCATGGAGCCAAAACTCTCGTTATTATCCATTATTTATAAAATGTCGCGAGGACGACAAATCGGTCAGCCCGCTTCCGTACATTATGCAACTGCTTTTGGCCCCCAAAGCTCACGCGTCTGTGACGAACGCCATACTTGAAATGATCGAAAGAATGGTCACGTTACAAGATTATGGCAAAACGAACGAGAACGATATGGAAACCGATACGGTTTTCGTTCCACTGACGCATTCACTCACCAATTTGCTAGAAATAAACGAAGAAGCATTGTCGAATGGAATCAATTATGGCTCGACTATACTGCTCCCTCACGTCTTCAGTATCTTGGAATACATTAAAAGGAAACTCGAGAAGTCGAACAGAGGGGTGAAGAAAACTGAATTGACCATACTGTCACGTATTTCGGAATTCGTGAAAGATCCAAACGCATGCGACACGCTTCTTGCTCTCACTTTACCCATATTGGTGAAAAGAGCAACCGCTGGAGAAGGGGAAGAAACGATTATGGAATTACTAACAACCGTTATAAATCTTATAAAACATATCAAGAGACCAGAGATTCATATACGTGCGATTTTACCTCTGTTGGGCATTTTATCTGCTATACCAACCCGCAAGCTTTTCTTGGAGCTTTACAAAACTATCGCCGAAGCGTCCACGGGGGATAACCGCGAAACGTTGTTAAAAAATTATAATTTAATAACCGCGCTGAATGCATGGGACCGCAGATGGATCGATCAGGCAGATTTCCAAAAGAGACTGGACGCATTTACTGAGATTAATAACGCGGCGGGAAAGGATGAAATTACAATGGAGTTTGGGGTGGCTGTGATTTATAACTGTTATTACTTTCTTAGAAATGAGACGGATTTAGCGTTGAAAGATTACGCGGGACAGTGCCTCAAGCTTATTGGTCCCAAATTGGCGAAGAAGCACGGGGAGAATGTAACGGATAAACGTTATCTGATGGACGACACTATTTTACCGCTTATAAGGAAAGGGATTGTTAGTAAAAATGATACTGTCAGACTTCAGTCGATAGGTCTGTTAGGGTGTTTGGCTATGGAGTGCCCGGAAGTGCACCCCATTTTGCGAGACTTGTCGTTGTTGACTAACAAAGTAGACCCTGAAGTGGATTTTTTTGAGAATATGCAACATTTGCAACTGCACAGAAGGGCTCGTGCGTTGTTGAAGTTCTGTAGCTTGGCAAAGACGTTGAAAAAGGCGCCGAATCCGAGAACACTGACTCAGTTTATTCTTCCTCTTGCCTCCTCGTATTTGTGCAACGAGAGTTTCATACACAAAAACAGCCTTGTCGATGCTGCCATCGAGACAGTCGGGACAGCGTGCAGACTGTTACCTTGGCACCAGTACGAGGTCATCTTGAAACACTATTTAGGGAAACTGAGACATTCCGTCGAGTTTCAGAAGCAGCTTGTCAGAACCGTTGTCATCATCCTGGATTCTTTTCACTTTAATTTGTCAAAGTGTAACAAGCCTGTCGAAGAATGTTCGACGCTGGACAATTCTAAAACAACCAAAGAAGAGGATGAGAATGTTGATGAAAAGGCGGAACAGTTGGACGAAGTTTTAAATTCTGAAACCTTGGAGAACGCGGTGGAAATTCTAGAAACGGTTCAGAAAGAAGAGGAAGAGAGTGAATTTGTGATGGAGAAGCAAACGATTCTTTCAGAGAACGGGGCGCAAAGAATCGTGTTTAGTATATCCAAAGAATTGTTGCCACAACTTCATCGTTCGATCGTAGCTAAAACTCAGCAGGAGAGTAGTCACAAGATTAACAAAAAGAAGATTTCATCAGAGAACGAGGAAGAAGAACTAATGCGTGTTCCCATCGCGCTTGCGTTTGTTAAACTGTTACAGAAATTACCCCAATGTATGCTGGGTACAAATTTACCAGGGTGAGTGTACACGTTTCCATAAAAAATTTACAAATTATTAAAGATTCATTGTTTTAGAATCTTCATGAAATTATGCGCGTTCCTGAAGTCGCGTTTGGAATCGGTGCGGCGCGTTACTCGCGAGATACTGCAAAAGATCATGATCACTCTGGGTCCAAAGTATCTTCATTACCTGTTGAGAGAGATGAATACATTGTTAACGAAAGGTTTTCAAATTCATGTACTTGCGTACACAGTGCAATCGGTGTTGGTCTCCTTGAAACCGTATTTTCAAAAAGGCGACATTAATGAGAATCTTCAAAGTATTTTATCTGTAAGTAGTATTGTACGCACCCTTTGATAGTGGTAAACACTTTGTTCCAAATTAAAGTAATCTGTTTTAACGAATCAGGTGTGTAAAGTAGATCTGTTTGGGTTGACCGCAGAAGAGAAAGAAGTAATAGGAATCGTGAAAAATGTCTCAGAGGCAAAGTCCACAAAAAGCTTCGATATTTTTCATATATTGGCGCAATACATCACGGAATCTTGCTTGGTGGATTTAATTTTACCATTGAAAGAAGTGCTTATAAGAACACGCTCTCACAAAACCGTGCAGAAAGTGGTGGAATGCTTAAGAAATGTAGTATTGGGTTTGGCAGATAACGTCTATATACCATTGGAGCAAATGCTTATATTTCTTTATGGCGTGGCTTCTGAAAGCATTCCCGAGCTCATACCTGAGAGAAAGAACAAGCAGTTAACCGAGAAAGAAGTAAAAATAATGGCTATACAGAAGCCTGATTCCTTCATTATTCCACCTCAGCCAAAAAACAGAATGGGCATAAAGGCTGTTTCAAAAACATCGAAGAATACCAATGTTCATGTTATCATTGAATTTGGTTTGAAACTGTTTCATATTTTACTGAAAAGGGACAAAGTATCCGCTGCAAAGTTCAAACCTCTCATAGATCCGTTTGTACCACTTATGAGCGACTGTATAAAGTCTCAACACGTTAAGGTAAAGCTATCTTAGAGACTTATATTCGATTTACGCGGGAAATTAACCCTTTGACTGCTAAAGACGTAAATATACGCCCTTTGCATTTTTTTACTATAACACCTTTCACTGTTTTACCAATTGATTCGACACGGAATTAAATATTTTAATTCATTTGCATTTATTATTTTTTTAAACCGTAAGAATGGTTTCTCAAATCTCCGGGTACTTTTTTGGTCACTAGTCGCAGCGCCATCTATGTCGATGGATTCTTCCTAGGAGGCGCTGCAGTCAATAGGTTAATTACCAAGCCGAATTGCACGAATGTTTAAGCTGAATCGTAATCTTTCTTTCAGCTGAGCACATTAGCGTTGCAGTGTTTAAACTGGCTGCTCAAGATGGACTTATCATCGGTGCAGGACAGAATCTCCGACATCTGCTCGTCCATATTCAGCATACTGCACAAATACGCCGCGGCTGGTTTGAGCAAAGGGGATAATTTTGATCTGGTCATGGCTAGCTTCAAATGCATGTCGGTGATCGTCCGCGACGTGAAACACTACACGATCACCACGGACCAAGTAAAAGTTCTGATCATGTACGCCGAACAAGATATGCACAACAACGACCGACACGCGACAGCGTTCGGTCTGCTAAAGGCGATAATCGCTCGGAAGATGGTATTCCCCGAAATGTACGCTGTCATGGAGAAAGTTGCTGCTCTGAGCATCACGTCGGAATTGGAACACATCAGGCAGCAATCGCGTTCCGTGTTTTATTCGTACTTGATGGACTATCCCCTTGGGAAACATTTGAACAAACATATAGTGTTTTATTTAACGCAACTCGGTTACGAGATGCAACCTGGCCGACTCAGCGCGTTAGAAATGATTCACAGCATTATTACAGGATTTCCATTAGTACGTACTTGTAGTTTAAAACGCATACCAATTGTATCATTGTATAATTTAAGAATTGTAATTTTAGAAAGCTTTGACGCTGAAGTCAGCCCTGATATTTGTAATGGCGGGCGCACGATTGGTGAACGACGACGATCCGACGTGTCGTAAATTATGCGCAAAGTGTATCAAAGAAATGATAACGCGTTTACCTCACAACGACAGAAGCAAACTCTTCGACATAGCCATGGAATGGTTAAAAGATACGAAGGTTATTATCGGAGACTTGAAGCTTAAGGAATCGTATCGCGTTCGACTGTTCGTATAATTAATAATTTCAGATAATGCATCGCGCTCTGGCTGCTCAGTTATGCGGCATATTCGTGATCGTGGAAAAAGACACGTTCGAATGTCGATTGAAAGAGATACTGCCCCTTCTACTGAGACAGTTCCACGCGAAGTTCGACGACAAAGACGAGCCTGGTCGTTTCGTGAAATTACGCGCAAACGAGGAAACTGAATTCAAGATACCATCGAGCGTCAAGGATCCAGAGAGGATGAAGGATCATCATATGTTTCAGGTCTTGCAGTTGTTGTTAAAAATATCAGCGAATTGTACAGCGTTCCTAAAAAACGAAGAGTACAAGGAAACAGTCCGTTCGTTTGCTGGTACATTAAACATTCTATCGATAAATAATTTTTTTTTTTCATGTTTGTACTAAGGTATAGTTTGTACATTTTAGAATACAGTCAATTCTTATTGGCACATCCGCACACGTGGGTTCGTTTAGCAGCGTCGCAGATGATTGGTTTTGTGTTGGCTGCCCTCGACATCGACAAAATTATAGACTTGCTAGAAAATCCCGGAAAATGCGAAACGGAAACCGGTTACATGTGCTCCGAGCCTGACGTAATCATCAGAAGTTTAACTTTAGATTTAATCGCGCAATTGCAACCCGATACGACGTTCGAGGAGCTGACCGATCAAACCATTAAAAATTTAATTTTTATCGCGAGAATATTGAAATCCGTAAAAACATCTGGCTTCGAACCGATCGAAGGAAGCGACCAGGTAAAAGGGAAAGACAAGAACCAGTTATCTCTTCCTTGGCTCGTCAGAAGACTAAGAAAGGCTGTGAACATAGAAATAACTCAAGCTCCTAAATCGATAACAGTGGTGCGTATTTTTACTTCTGTTATGGCAATAGGTAATCATAATGAGTGGTAATATTTTCAGCGAACTGCATTCTTCAAATGGACAGCTGGTGCAGTGGCCACTATACCCATGGAGTGTTTGAACGCAGTACTTTTTAATATTATGTCGCCGATTGCACGCGAAATGTCGAGCACGGAAGAGAGTAATGTCGCTTTACGACGACTGGCGAAAGAAGCGGCTGTGATGATCAAGAAACGTTTAGGCAATGAAGAATATACTAGGTTATTGAGCAGGGTGCAACAGAAATTAGATATTAAGAAAGCGGAAAGAAGGAAATCACGCACGCAACAGGTAGCATTTTGTATTTACAGATTAGCCCTCCTGCAACACGGTATCCTGTAACACTGTACTTCTACAGCACTGGATAACATGATTTATGCCTAACATATTAAAAAATTACGCGAAGGAATAATGCATTATAGTGGCTTTACAAAATTTTAATGGTAGATTCTAGAGGCCAAAATAAGACGAAAATCAAGAATACCAATTTGTTGATTGAGGCTTCGTTAAAAAGTTATTAACGTTTGAAGTTCCGCCTGTAGAACTACTGTCGCGCGCACGCAGTTGTGCGCAGGTTGCCTATCTACAGGCGCAATTATAAACGTTAATAACTCTTTAACGAAGCCTCCATGAACAAATTAGTATTCTTCATTTTCGTCTTATTTTGGCCTCTAGAATCTACCATTAAAATATAAATTAAGGTTGCGTTAAATTAAAATAATATGCTCATGTAGAAGTAAAAAAAAATTTGTTTTTAATAAGTTTTCGGAACGTAACTCCCCTCTGGATCTCATATAACACGGTTTCACACAGCACGACATTTTCTAGGAACCTATCTACCGTGTTATAGGAGGGTTACCTGTACTTGTTTTTACGCGCGATGGATAAATTAGTACGATCGCGAATATGTTAAATTTATTTTCATTGCAGTTCGTGACGGACCCAGAGTTGGCTGCGAAACGTAAAATTGCGAGGCAACAGAAGAAAAAAGAAGCTAGGAAGAGGAAAATGGACGTCATGAAAGGTAAAAAAGTAACGAAGAAACGTCGCAAAAAAGAAGTTGATTTAGATATTATATGAATTTTCTGTTTGAAGTGAAATTCTGATGTACATAAATTAAGGATATCTGATAACAGATTTAAATTTTATCTGATTGAAATTTTGTACAGTACTCTATAGTACATGTGTGATTGTATACTAAGAAGCGAATATGTATATTTTGTAAGTTAATGCGCATACATCTATCTTTTTTAAATGACCAACATTTCATGACCACGTGTAAAAAGTGCAACATTTTATATTATACCGCCAAAATAATACAAAAACTAATCATTTACATTGTAAATTTTTACAAAATTCATTGAATTACTGGTAGTAATATTCAACTTATCAAAAATAATATATAAACATTTAAATACTAATGGTGTGGACACTATCGATCGTTGACCTCGAATTATATAATTACTGCAAATGCGAAACAAGTAAAAAAAGATTGTGAAAACCCAACAAATTCTCGAACAGTTTCGAGAAATTAATACAAGCGGAAAGGAAATACGCGCGGCGCCATGAAAAATGTGCATTTGCATTTTTCGAGGGCATCGTTGCCATTATGGCAAAAACAGCCGTAAAAAATGGAGACATTATCATATCATTTAACTTTTCCTGCTCGGTAAACGTTCAGAATATATTGTCAAATAAACAATAAATATTGTTTCAAGATTTCGTAATTTTTGAGGTTGGGGGGGGTGATCATAGTGATCGAAAATTCTTTACATTTTACAATAGAACCCCAACACTTGTACAATATTTAATATCGAGTAAAATTTTCTGCTAAATTTGGTGCCCCCTCTCGTTGTAAAAAAAAGAGTTAACGAACAAGATTATCCCGAAAGAGATACAAGTACGAGTACGAATATTTACGTTGTTACAAGTTATATATTTATCTGTAATACCTGGACTTACATAAAATTGTAGATTGCGCCGTTTCCCGGAGAAATAATTAATTACATGGTAGTCTACACGTATAAAAGAAAACTACACCACATCCGTAGGTCTTCGTAGACGCCATCGATACTCGCTACCCGATCTTCTCCATAGATGTCGTTACAGGGTATAAATAAATTTAAAAGCCGGCGAAACAAAGTATTCCGTGATCTGTTTATCACCTCGTGAACGAATAACTTGTTTAAAATAAAATAACAATTTGGTTACTTTCGAAATTATTAAGGGTGATTTGTGTGATTTACTTCGTACGTATGTAGATACGGTGACTTTACGACAGATTCAATGCCGACTAGATTTCATTGGGTGGAGGTCGCACTTACAACGGAAGTACCCTGTAATTGTATCGCTGGTATGTAAATAAGTGTTTCCACGGTGATAAGGTCTCGAACACTACCAGTTAATAGTTTACGAGTTATTTATGGTTAAAGTTTCGGCACAGCGATAATAGTCTCTAATTGTTCCCGAGTCGATAGGATGTTTACGATTGTATAGAAAATTCGCAGAATCAACCCCCCCGAATGAATCACCGGAAAACCCGTGAATTTTGTCACGATAGGCCTTCGGAGATTAGAACGGTCGTCTGATGTTGCATATTATTTTTTAGGTTATCCTGGTACCAAGAGACAGAGGGATTACGGAGTTGGATAATTTTCGTGGATGAAACCCCCCTTATGCGCAGCGTCGTCACGTGGACGTAATAGAAACCGATCGTGACGCTCCGTGGGCTGTGCAACGTTACGCGTGACTGAATGTATCGGGTCGTAAATGTTGTCTAACTATATCTCATTGAAGCATCGCCAACTCGTGTCTTCTTTCTTTCTTTGACTTTGACATGCTCGCGAGGAAGGAGCCGAGGCACTGCTCAGCCTCGCGCTTATCGAAGAAACGGTGTTATCGGCGGTGGTTGCACTATATAAATCGGTACGACGATCGAAGCGTGAGGACATCGCCTGTATAGTTGTGACCGAGGGAATTCCGTTCTTCGATAACTATCGAACGTGGTCGGACTCTTTGCATAACACAACCTCAGTTCGACGTTGGGCCCGACACGATCGCGGATTAAATCGATTTGCGTTCCACGATGTTCGCCACCTTGATACTGTTATGCGTGATCGTGATATTGCTACTGACGTCCGTGCTAATCGGACCTAAAACGGGAAAGCATCCGCCAGGTAACGCCAGTTATTTCGTGTGTGGGATACCTTGCGTCACAATGCTTGATCGGTACAGTGGGTCAGTGCCTTTTCGTTTTGATTCTAATATCAGGGGCGGATTCAGTAAACTCGCTAGGAGAATGCACAATTTCACAATTCGAAAATAGTTCATATCAAAGATTTTAATAACTCTTGGGGTTGGCGATCACCCATCCAGATCCGCCCTTGAATATTGAATATTAAGCAACATTAACGCAAACGTAAACATCATTTTTTTACGTTCCTCTCGACGAATGACAGAACACGAGAATTAAATATTCCACTGGGTCAAAGAATTGATTAATGGTGGGTTAAGATCTATGGGTCGGTACAATTGGTTCGATTATGTCAGTGTTTCTCAAACTGTGATCGCGCGAATCGAAAAAAGACACAGAATTAATTATGAAGATCGAAAAAGAAATGGAAAACTTACGAATGCATGTTCTCGCGTGTTGTTTACATTCAATCCGAACGAAGCGCTCAGTTTAGCTAGTAATTGAATCTGGTCCGGCGAAAGGTATCAGATTACTATCGAATACCATCTGTCATTCGCGGTTTCTGACCACGGTTTCTTTTTACTTTTCCATTTAACAAACCTTAATATCAAGCGATTTGATTTTAATCTTCCATCGATTTCAAGGGAATAATATTTCATTTTATGACCGATAACGTTACATTATCCGAATTTTTAAGACACGTGCTTAACACTAGATTGCCCAAGGAAGTCATTTTGACTGCTTTTTAATTTCAATTAGAAAAACAATTATGTATATAATGACACAATTTCTTAGAATTTTGTGACTTTTTGCACAACATATAAATGCGTTTATTAATAATTGTAGTTACCTCCCCCCTACTTCATTTCCGGTATATATATATATGTGTTATACCTATATCGCCCAAAAGCAGTCATTTTGAATCTGGAAATTTTAAATAATCAAATCTTATTATTGAATTGAGTACATTTCTTATATGACCAGTTCGACTTTGTATTGAAATAACAGTTTTCATTTTTTTTCGATTACCAACACATGATAACATACAAGTACATGATAAATTGTCGATTTGGGTGTACCTAACCCAGACCTAACCCAGACCTAACCCAGACATAACCCAGACCTAACCCAGACCTAACCCAGACATAACCCAGACCTAACCCAGACCTAACCCAGACATAAACCAGACCTAACCCAGACCTAACCCAGACATAACCCAGACCTAACCCAGACCTAACCCAGATCTAATCCAGACCTAAGCCAGACCTAACCAAGACCCTAGATCTGGGTTAGGTCTGGATTAGATCCGAGTTAGATCTGAGTTAGGTCTGGGTTAGGTCTGGATTAGATCCGAGTTAGATCTGGGTTAGGTCTGGTTTAGATTTGAGTTAGGTCTGGATTAGATCTGAGTTAGGTCTGGGTTAGGTCTGGATTAGATCTGAGTTAGATCTGGGTTAGGTCTGGTTTAGATTTGAGTTAGGTCTGGGTTAGGTCTGGATTAGATCTGAGTTAGATCTGAGTTAGGTCTGGGTTAGGTCTGGATTAGATCCGAGTTAGATCTGGGTTAGGTCTGGTTTAGATTTGAGTTAGATCTGGGTTAGGTCTGGATTAGTTAATAATCCAAATTATCTTAAGTTTTATCCTTCATTTATTCGTACATAAACTGAACATTACAGAAATTTATATATTAATGAGCTAGTAATATTCCCATTGCATTTCGACAAGTTTTATCCTTAATTTATTTATACACAAGCTCTTGAATAATTCGATACACGTAAAGCTGAACATTACACAAACAAGTTTCCCTTTTAATAGGCTGGTAATAGTAATAGAAATATAATATAAAACAGTACACAAATTTTCGACAAATTTTATCCTTAATTTATTTATACACAAGCTCTTAAATAATTCGATAACCCAGACCTAACCCAGACCTAACCCAGACCTATTGATAAATTGCAGTTTCTCAATAAGCTAAAGTAGTACTTGTTATTCGAATCTTTATACAGTGATACTTGTTCTAACAAGTTGTTTATTTTATTTCTGCGCCCTAAATTCATAATATTATAACATAATTATAACATTAATTTTAAACAAATTTCTTTACACATTAGTTAGTCTTTCACAATGCAGTAATTTTGACTGCTTTTGGGCAATATAGGTATATACTAAGTTTCAGTCTTTCTAACGTTAAGATTGTGGTATCTTTTAGGGCCATTCTCGTGGCCGTTTATCGGCAACCAGAGTCTATTGAAGCGTATGTCTGACAAACTTGGGGCGCAGCATTTGGCGCTGAATGAACTCTCCAGACGATACGGCAGTAACTTGATAACCTTACATCTCGGTATCAACAAGGTGGTGGTCGTTTCCGGAAACAAGCCCGTGATGACGGTCCTGATGAGCGAGGAATATGACGGACGGCCTTGGAACGAGTTCATCAAAATGAGGAATCTGGGACAAAAGAACGGTAGCATCCCTCTACGGCGAATCTTGCATGGGACAGGTTTAATAATTTTTGTCCTCGTGGTTAGGTATCACGATGAACGAGGGATCCGAGTGGAAGGAAGTGAGGAACTGGACCATGCAGGCGCTGAAGTCGTTCGGTTTCGGGAAAGTCGGGATGCTGGACATGATCAAGGACGAGTTGAACAAGGTGTTGGACACCTTGAAGGACGGGGGCGTGAAGATGTTGAAACCGATAATCACGCCAGCCGTGATAAACGTGCTGTGGACGATAGCAGCGGGGAAACGATTCGACGAGACCGCCAAGTATTACACATACACACTACCGTCCATAAGTCATCGACTAGGTTAGGTTAAGAGTCGCATATTTATTTTGACTATAGCGAATGGTGGAGGAATGTAACAAATATATTTGGCATCTTCCAAGACGGGCAAAATGTCCGGTGACTTACGGACGGCGATGTAGATAGTTACATATACGTCTTCCATCGATTTCTCTCCGCCAGGACTACCATTCTCGCGTATTTGGCGCTGGATGCGTGTAAACGACTGTGCAAACTAGGAATCGTTCGCGGTGGCTGCCATGTTGCTTTTCCTCGATTACTTCCATAAGGAAACTGTATTTTTTTCCACGATTAAAAACCGATTAAATATAAAAATACATTGAAAAGCAAAATGGCGGATCTCACAGTAGCCAAGAGTTTTTTTAAATATTATTTTTGAACCTCGTGCGTTACTCGAGTCTAAATACTGTTTGTTTTAATGTTTGCACCGTTGACAAAAAGAAAGCACCCGATGGGATGTAAAAGAAAAGCGCGTCGAATCTGAAATGGAAGGTAACGATCCATGGCGAGAGTTTAGAATCGAGTGGCAAGTGGGTCACGCATTTGAGGCGCATTGGGTCGTGATCGTTTATTGTCTTTCCAACGTCTGACCGCAGGTTGGAGTATTTCGTCGACTTGTTGGATCGTCGTGCGCGCGTGTTCGACATGTTCGGCGGGATTCTCTCCACTTTCCCTTGGATTCGTTACATTGCACCCGAGGCCTCGGGTTACAACCTTCTTCAGACGCTCAACGTCGAGCTCAGGGACTTCTTAATGGTAAACCCCATTGTTTAAATCAATTACGATCGTTCGTTACACGCTTACCATTGAAACGACCAAATGCAACTGCTAGACTGCGGTTCTTTATGCGTTAAAAAATTGCAGAATCCTCTACGAAGCTCACCATTTCATTCTATGAATTTGTTTAAAGGTCCACAGTCTAGTGATTGCATCTTACAATTGATAATTACTACCCTTATTAAACAATCGACCTTAACGGTTTCTCACACAGAAAACCATCGACGAACACAAACGGAAGTACGTCGTAGGGAGCGAGGCGGACTTAATAGACATGTTCATCACCGAGATGAACAAAGACAAACACAGCACTATTTACAATGGTACAGTTTCTCACAAATGATCTAATATTCATTCACAAACATATACCAAATAGCTTCCTTTATTATATTAAATACGGGCCCAAACGTCCCTCTAACTAGTCATTTAATTTTGATTTTCAGACGACCAATTGGTGATGATACTGATCGATCTCTTCATCGCCGGTGTTACCACCACAGCGACGACTTTGGACTTCCTTTTCATGAACATGGTGGTGCACCAGGACGTGCAACAGAAGCTTCAGAAAGAGATCGACTCCGTGGTCCCGTCCAGCAGGCTTCCCGACTTGGGCGACAAAATGAAGTAACAAATTTTCTTTATTTATTTATGTGACACTGTAACGAGGGATGGAAAATGTAAATAATACAAATTCAAGCAGAGGAGAAGGTAGGTATAATAAATATTTAATGTGGCGCTCCGTTGCTTCCCGTACTTGCCACCAGAGGGACCGTTTCTCTCGCAAGCGCTCGATGAACCTTCCATTTGTATATAACTCAATTTCCTGGCGTGTAAAGTGGAGGCTAAGTTAGGTGCTTCCCCCGTTTTGATCTATCTCTCTTCCACAGGACCCCAAAAATATGTTTCCTCGGCCCTTTTCGATCAAGAGCTACGTGTTGGAATCCCCCGGGTGGTCAAGTAATGCTTCTGTTGTATTATAAGAGTTTATTTATTTACGTTGAACTCACACCGGAACTCTCAACTATGAAGAATAGTAACGGGAGTTTTTGCAATGGAAGTTGGCTCTTGGACAAGGCGTTATAACACCCGGAAGAGACTTCTTGTGCAACTCTGAGGCCCCTGGGCCCCTGGGCCCCTGTGTCTTAGCAATAGTAGAGGGGAGCAGGACCCTTAGACTTAGACCTAGTGACTTTAACGGAGCCTTGTGACTAACAGATGATGACAACACTATGTTTGACATGGTTTGAAGAACCCTGTGGGTCTAGAACTAATTTCTAGAGTTAAAAATGTATCATTGTCCTCTTTGATACTATGTTTGACACGGTTTGACGTGGTTTGACGATGTGTCTTAGCAATAGTAGTGGAGGAGGACCCTTAGACTTAAACCTAGTGACTTTAACGGAGCCTTGTGACTAACAGACGATGACAACACTATGTTTGACATGGTTTGAAGAACCCTGTGGGTCTAGAACTAATCTCTAGAGTTAAGAATATATCATTGTCCACTTTGATACTATGTTTGACACGGTTTGACGTGGTTTGACGATGCAATAGTAAGTCTTAGCAATAGTAAGAGAGGAGGACCCTTAGACCTAGTGACTAACGAGCCCAACGAGCTTTCTAACTAACAGACGATGACGTTATCCGATATTTGGCCTATTAGTCATCCAACACACTGCATCAGAGAGACTTGACGTACTATTAAGTCCTAAAATTTGTTATTGTTGCAGACTCCCCTACGCAGAGGCTGTGATTACCGAGTCCCAACGTCTCTGGCCAGTGCTTCCAGTGATTGGACCGCGTCGAGTCCTTCGCGACACGTACCTCGATGATTACTCGCTACCAAAGGACTCCACCATTCTGTTGAATTTGTATTCCATCCACACGGACCCGGACATCTTCCCCGATCCGCTGAAATTTCAGCCTGAGAGGTTCATAAACAACGGGGTGTTCTTCGGCCACAACGCCGAGGTTCTGACTTTTGGAAAAGGTGAACGGTCTTTCGAAACCTGAATCACGTTTACAGAACAATCCTGAACAGAATTTCCCAATGTGCCGCCAAAAACGGCGAAAACTATGGCGTTCTGGTATATCCAGATATATCCATATCCAGATACGCGAAAGGTTGAAACGCCATAACCCATAACGCCGTAAACAAGGTAGCAGATTTTCTCTGTTCGTTTCCGAGTGTCTCTAGGAAAGTCGGGAATGCCATTGACGCGAAAAACGAGCGTAAACTGGTCTCCGTAATCATTATCCCGCGGACAGGATTTACAGCGCGTAGCGATTTTAGAAACTGGGACGAACCCATTTCAAAATTGAAGAAAAAGTTGTATCCTCCGACGAGGATTGCCTTTTAACGACAGAATTTTTGCCTCTCAGGCCATAATTTTCCATTGTTCCTCGAATAACTTTACTATCTTCAAATACATTTTTTACCAATTATAAGAAACTTGATACGTGTTAGGCAAACGTTTTATATTAAAATCAATCGCCAGCTTTTTTCCTGCTGAAATTTCCAAATATAACGGATAATGTAAATCGGCGGGTAAGAAGTATATTTAAACTGTAATTTCCAACCGTTTGCATATCGTTCATGCATTTGCATATCTAGATTCAGGTAAGCTTCAGACATAAAGCATTAAGTATCTCTTAATACATAACACGACGAACGCACGTGCTTATTTCTTTTACGGCGATAACAAGTTGTTTCATAATAATGATGAACGTTTCGAATTTCTTATTATTCTAACGTTTTTCTATTTTTCATTTTAGGGAGAAGACGATGTCCTGGCAACATACTGGCAAAGTCCGCGTTGTTTCTTTTGTTCGTGGGCGTGATGAAAAAGTATTCCCTACTTCCGGTCCCGAGCAAGGGACCCTGGACCGTGGAGACTATTCCTGGCTTGATAATGTCGCCGAAGCCTTACGACGTGTTAATCGTGCCGCGATAATATTATCTTATTCCGTCGGGAATCCCTAAACAAACGTAGAAAACTATCTACGATCGAGGTAAATTGTAAGTTCAAATCGAGACAAGAAAACCGTACTGGATCAACGCAATTAATAGAAACGTTTAAATTATCCACGTATTTATATATTTGAGACTTTCTTTCTGCGTCCCCTGTAAAACACGAAACAACTATTCTACTCCTATAAATTCTCTTTTATTTTTAATACAGTTTGTAGTTTCCTTTCTCCCAATTAGTTGTAACTCATGTGTGTGCGTTTGGTAATAGAATAAGAATGACTACGTATGAGTTTAATTCAATTTTTCTTTTTCTAAACTCGAGAGAAACGTTCGAAGTGATTTTTCAAAATGTCGTCGATCTTCTCTAATTTTATTTTTAAAACTGTGTAACAGAGAAAAATGTGTTTAGATCGTATCGAGGTTTGGGTTTGTCCCCAGCGTCTCGTTATTTATACAGTCGTTTTTATCGCCCAAACGACGGGGCATGATTAACGACGCGTAGATTCACTGCGTTTTAACTTAATCAATGCCGGCGTGTTTTTAACAACACACGATGTTTCCAAGCCCGTAGACTGGGCGTTCCCGAAGTAGCTCGACCCGTAGATAGACCGTTTGTTTAACTTCAACAAATTTTTCTCTCAAAAATATTGTTTATTGTTCCTGCGCGAAAGTCGCTTTACCCGTCGTTTTACGTGTTCGTCGGAATCGTCTCGTTTCGCGGAAGTCCAAATGCGCCCTCGACCACGTGGCGATCCAGTACTTTCATACAGGGTGTCTCGACCTTTTAACGGCCACGATTTTTCACTACGTTCCGTTGGGCGAAAGAAAAAGTCGTAAGACGAGGCAAACGTAACGCAAGTTCGAGATTTTTAGATAAAAGATATTTGATGTGTGTCTAGTTTAATTAATTCATAGTTATCTTTTTTCAACATCTACCGATTGGATCTTCCAGTTAACGTGTAAAAGAAATTATTTGAAGGAAACCCCTGGCGCTAATAAATAATTGATATTTATTATAATGTAAATAAAGCTGTGCAACAGGCGTGTCTATTCAATAGGATTTCGATTAGAGATTGCATGTTTGTTAACTTTTACTAATATTGGTAATTCAAGAACGAACGACAGTCGATTTTAATGGCAAAAATTTTATTTAGAGTCGATCGAATAATATAAAAATAAAGAAAAAAATGGAAATAAATAGATGCTTATTTTACACATAAATTCAATATAAAAATATTGTACAATTCGATCGACGATAATTTTAATCGATGCCCAAATCACAATGGCGTCCGTTGTTCTTCTCAAATAATTGTCGATTTTAATGGCAAAAATTTTATTTAGATTCGATCGAACAGTACAAAAAAAAAATGCAAATAAATAGATGGTTATTTTACACATAAATTCAATATAAAAATGTGGTACAATTCGATCGACGATAATTTTAATTGATGTCCAAATCATAATGGCGTCGGTCGTTCTTCTCAAATAATTGTCGATTTTAATGGCAAAAATTTTATTTACATCCGAACGAACAGTACAAAAAAAAGAAAAATGCAAATAAATAGATGCTTATTTTACATATTTTAATATAAAAATATTGTACAATTCGATCGACGATAATTTTAATCGATGCCCAAATCACAATGGCGTCCGTTGTTCTTCTCAAATAATTGTCGATTTTAATGGCAAAAATTTTATTTACATTCGATCAAACAGTACAAAAAAAAAATGCAAATAAATAGATGGTTATTTTACACATAAATTCAATATAAAAATGTGGTACAATTCGATCGACGATAATTTTAATTGATGTCCAAATCATAATGGCGTCGGTCGTTCTTCTCAAATAATTGTCGATTTTAATGGCAAAAATTTTATTTAGATTCGATCGAACGGTACAAAAAGAAAAAAATAATTCAAATAAATAGCTGCTTATTTTATACATAAATACGATATAAAAATATGGTACAATGTTTTTATTTTAAACACGTTAACAATTATTGAAAAATTGAATCGACGATAATTTTAATTGATGTTTCAATTGCAATGGCGTCTGTCGTTCTTCTCATATAATTGTCGATTTTAATGGCAAAAAAAATGCAAATAAATAGACGATTATTTTACACATAAATTAAATATAAAAATATGGTACAATATTTTTATTTTAAACACGTTAACAATTATCAAAAAATTGAATCGACGATAATTTTAATCAATATTCAAATCGCAATGGCGTCCGTCGTTCTTCTCAAATAAATAAAAATAACAAAAATGTCAATAATAATGGCAAAAAAAAACAAAAATGCAAATAAATAGATGCTTATTTTACACATAAATATAAAAATATGGTACAATGTTTTTATTTCAAACACGTTAACAATTATCGAAAAATTGAATCGACGATAATTTTAATTAATATTCAAATCGCAATGGCGTCCATCATTCTTCTCAAATAATTGTCGATTTTAATGGCAAAAAAAAATGCCATTAAATAGATGGTTATTTTACACATAAATACAATATAAAAATATGGTACAATGTTCAACAATTATCGAAAAATTCGATCGACGATAATTTTAATTAATATTGAAATCGCAATGGCGTCCATCATTCTTCTCAAATAATTGTCGATTTTAATGGCAAAAAAAAATGCCATTAAATAGATGGTTATTTTACACATAAATACAATATAAAAATATGGTACAATGTTCAACAATTATCGAAAAATTCGATCGACGATAATTTTAATTAATATTGAAATCGCAATGGCGTCCATCATTCTTCTCAAATAATTGTCGATTTTAATGGCAAAAAAAAAATGCCATTAAATAGATGGTTATTTTACACATAAATACAATATAAAAATATGGTGCAATGTTTAACAATTATCGAAAAATTCGATCGACGATAATTTTAATCAATATTCAAATCGCAATGGCGTTTATCGTTCTTCTCAAATAATTGTCGATTTTAATGGCAAAAATTTTATTTACATCCGATCTAATAATACAAAAAAAACAAAAATGCAAATAAATAGATGCTTATTTTACACATAAATATAAAAATATGGTACAATGTTTTTATTCCAAACACGTTAACAATTATCGACGATAATTTTAATCGATGTTCAAATTGTAATGGCGTACGTGGTTCTTCGAAAATAATTCTCACGTTGCAAAGTAGTCCCTGATGTCGGATCTCGTCGTGAGCTTCAGGTAATACGGTTTCGGAGATATAGTGAAACCGTCGTACCCGTTCGGGTCTGGCTTGCCGTGGTCCGGTGAAATTTCGATGTCGAAGTAATGTATAACGTAGGCGAAGAATAAAAATAAGGAACTGCGGGCCAGCATTTCTCCCGGGCAGCGTCTTTTGCCTGAAACGGTGGAAGCGGATCGTCACGGTTTACGCATTTTTTTACGTTAAGCATCGGCGTGCGTGAAAGTAGCAGAATTATTATTCGAATAATAGACGGCGGATAGAAACTGCGCCAAATAATTTATTCGCCGCGTTTATTCGATCCGACAGTCAATAATTCTCATCGAACAAACTACGAATCGAAAATTTATTTACAATATCTATCGATACTCGAGAATTTTGTCTCTAAAATAAATTTTCAAAATGTTACTTTCGATTTGTTAATATTATTTTTCAACGAATTGAAAAGTTATTTACAATGTTTATCTGTCGGTTCGATATTCGAGAATTTTGTCTCTAAAATGAATTTTCAAAATGTTACTTTCGATTTGTTAATATTATTTTTCAACGAATTAAAAAGTTATTTACAATGTCTATCGATACTCGAGAATTTTGCATGTCTCTAAAATAAATTTTCAAAATGTTACTTTCGATTTGTTAATATTATTTTTCAACGAATTAAAAAGTTATTTACAATATCCATCTGTCGGTTCGAAATTCAAAAATTTTGCCTTTCTAAAATAAATTTTCAAAACATTACTTTGACTTTGCTAATATTATTTAACGAATCCATTAATTGTTTAAATTTTCTTATTTTTAAGGAATTAAACATCTATAGTGAACGTTACCTAAACCAAAAGGCATGTTTGCGTTCTTCTGACAGAATCGGCCATTTTCGTCCAGAAATCGTTGCGGCCGGAACTCCTCCGGACGGTCCCAATAAGCTCTGTCGTTGTGCACACTATGAAAATCCAGAAGAACAATGGTATCCTAAAAGAAGGTAACATACAACAGTCTTATTGCATGAAATCTAGCAGATAATTACTATATTTTACCATGTTTGTTATAGAGCTACCTTGGGTATGAGATACTCGTTGAAAGTTATGTCTTTCATGGTCTTGTGGGGAACACCAAGTGGCGCCAGAATCAAGAATCTCTGCACCTGTGATTAATAATACAGTTTCAACACTGACCAATGGTCAACTGTACGTCTTCAACACCCTGTACAATTTAAAAAGAATTTACGATAAGAAAGGATCAATTTAACATTACTTCAGCGAGAAACGATTCCATCATAGGCAAGGAGGAGTAATCTTCCAAAACAGGGGACCGTGATCTTCCCACGACGCTGTCCAACTCCTTTCGTAGCTTCTCTATCCACTCCGAGTGGAGAGACAGAAACAACAGAGTGGTCGCCAAGGTGTCTGTGGTGGTCTTCGAGCCGGCTAAAAAGAGGTCCAAGCAGAGAACCAGTAAATTTTCTCCTGAAAAGAAAAAACAGACTTCCACGTTGTCCTAATCTATCCCCTTCTTGTTTCAGTTTGGACAGAAGCTTTGGAAAACTCACGATCGAAAATGGTGTCGTTCCTCTTGCTGTCGTTGGTCGATATTTCCAGGAGGAAGGCCTCGATCAGGTCCTGGGGCTCGTTCGACGACAAACGTCTCTCGTGCACGGTTATCTCCTCGTCCAGGAAGGCCCAGAGCTTCCTCAGTATTCTCATCAAGTCGTTGTAACCGGACAACTCGGGTATCACGAAGCGTAGAAATGGCATTTGGGATACAATACCACCCATAGTGTCCATCAATCTGATAAAAAAATATACAGGCTGTTTAACATCTATATTAACACTTTACCGACCGGTAGCGGTTGATTAATCGGCTATCGGTCGGTAAGCGTTGGTCGGTAAAAAAGTTTATTAATACGCTATCGGTCGGTAAGTGCTGGCCGGTAAAAAAGTCGATTAATAGGCTGTCGGTCGGTAATGTGTTAATATTTATTGTAATTTAAAAATAGTAAAAATAGAGTTTCTTGATTATCGAGTACCTAAAAGCATCGTGGACGATCTCCAGCATCTCTGTCAGCTTCTCGTTGTCGTAATCGAACCTGTGCCCGGCGAACATGGACCACAGAGAGTTGAGGACCGCGATATCAAAAGCTGTGTGCATGGGAATCGGGCCCCTCGCGCTGGCACGACGTAGATAAGCGACCAGATTCTCAGCCTCCATGGTCAGTTGCTTCTCCATGGTCGCCTGGCCCAAACCGAACGTTCGAAGATGCCTCATGGTGAAACGACGACACTGGGACCACGTGGGACCCTCCGTGAACAGAACGCCTATCAAAGATTCCAATACAAAGCAGCCAGGTCAGGTACCTTCTATCCAACGTTTATCAACGTGATCCTAATACCTTTTCTTTTCCCAAAGGCACGAACCCTGAAGAAGAACCCGTCTGGTCTGCCGTTGAACTCGTCTCGAAGAAGAACCTCCTTCACCAGGTCGTACGACGAGATCACAACGACCTTCTGGGTGCCCAGCTTCAGGCCCAAAATTGGCCCGTACGTCTCCGTTAGTTCCTGGAACGCCAAATAAGCGTATCCGTGTTTGCTCCTCAGCTTCCGGAACGCTAGGAAGCAGCCCACTAGCGGCAGCCATTTTGGTCCTACGCGTCATCGAACAGACTATTTTTAATCGAATCATTGTTTACAATTGTCAGTATTAGACATAATAGTTAGGGTAATCTAGGGTCACAACTATCAAAAATTTTATTTGAAAATCTTCTCTCATGAGACTCGACCTTGGTCCACCATTTTCCCTATCATTCGTTAAATAATATTGCCTATTGTATAACTATTTCGTAATAATCCCCGGTTGAAAGATTGTTTTTTTTTGAGTTATTTAATGATATACGGCTTGAAAATGATTGATGATCGTAGTTTTAAATTTCTAATCGCAGATTCACCGATCCAGGGAACGCACCAGGCGGGAAATCGCGGGGCTTGAGGCAATCGTAGACACAGTAGACGCAAAAAAGTACGGATAGCAGAGTGATTGCCGCGCACAGCATCTTCGGATGCACTGATAGCTCGCTTCGTGACTCGTGGCGCGGTTACTATACCCACGCATATATACGTATGGTGACAAAAACGATTCCGTTGGCACCCCGGTGATATTATCGCCGTGACACCCGTGGCCTCTGACGAAAATATCTTTTTGTCCGGAGACATCCTTTTCATGCACGCTATGCACCGGTTATAGAATCGCCATTCGTCTTTTCTAAAACTGTGATACAACGGTGGAATAGAGATGAATCATCACGGATCGTTGTGCAACAACGTGCAAACGAAATCTTTTCGAAAAGCATTCGAAAATAATAAATCGTTGGTTTTGATTATTATTTAATCGGAACTCGATCCGACCAGGACAAAGATTTTTTTAGTTTGTGGAATTTTTGTACGTTCATCCACATGTAAACGATTCGTTGATAGCAGTATAATTTCCGGGCCAGAATACGGAATACTCGGGGGGGATCAATGACCCCGCGATACGGAAGACATTTTAGTAGAAATTTGATTTCACCGAAACCGGGGATTCCGGTCGGAGGAGGAATAATCATGGACACGATTAAAGCGGTCAGAAAAAACAGGCTGCTCTTGTTAATTCTCATTAGAAATTTAGAATCAGGCTTCCAAATCATTTAGAGACTGCTCTTTTTATTTTAGAGAGAATTAAAATAATTTTTTTATTTGTAAACTCTTAGTCCCTATTATCGTCCATATTTGCATGTTCATTTATGATGATCGGTGATTCTTATTTACTATTCTGAAATGAACAGCTTGCACCAGTCAAACGGGGATTCAGAGTCCTCTATGCAGGGGTTAGAAAGTAGCACACGACCCAAACAAGGCTGAATTTTATTCTTAAAGTCAGGGAACATAAGTTGGAAAGTAAAAGTAAATTAGTATAAACGTGACATTCTGTCTTTCTTAAAAATTCTGTAATCGTGAAAATCAATTTAAATTGCCTCGCGAGGCTTTCAAAATTTTTATTAAAAAATTTCGCGCGAAGGAATGCATTTCTTAAATTTGAAGTTATTTCGTCCGGCCATCTTATAAATATTTATTCCCCCCCATCGAAAGTCATCCACGACTGGTTTTTACACGAATACGTGTATAATAAATAATGTTTTCTAAAATTCTCAGAGACGGCGGGAATTTCGAGACATTTGAAAATCGTTTTCACGCGATAACGGAAACGGAAATGGAAGTGTCCCGGTCAAGAAGTCTCGCGAATTCTCTCGAGCGCGGACACGCGTCTGGTCGGATCGCTTTTCTTATCACGCGGATCGCTGTTTGTTTCTCGTAGGTGCTCGGTTTATTTTCATCGCGCGTCGCGGTAAAAACCAGGGCGACGAGAATCCGCGATAAGAGCGAAACTTTCGAACCCCGTTATTAGATTGTTTCCTGGTCGGACAGGCTGATCGGCGTCGAACCGACCAGACTGGTTCCGCTTTTCAGCGAACCAGAGGGGAAATCCGATCTCTCGGGTTCACCGGGCTCGTTAACCTCGTCAGCCCGCTCAACGTACGTATTTTTTAAACCACAGTTCGATCCAAACGTCCAATAAATATTTCGTCATACAATTAACGCTTTGACGGTGGCTGTCACGTATACGTGACTATGGATCTAGCAGACTTTGGTCACTGTCACGTGTACGTGATCTATCAGCCACCATTTAGGCATCATACATTCGATTTATTACGTTTGTTGAGGTTACATTTATAATTCCATGTAACAATTACAGTGTATGATTAGCGTAGTAGCGGAAGTTAGTGTAGATTCGGTAGATCGGGGTGAGGGCGCTGCGAGCAGACGCCAGGAACCCGCAGTTCGGTCGTCTCCCGTGTCGTAGGCCGTAATAAAGCAGTTTTTAAGGTTATCTCCTTCCTCCCTGGCCGCCTACTACATAATATTCCTAGCATCTTCGTGTATCTCACCTTGGTCTGCAATATCAGTGGTTACGAACAACGATTTTCGCGTGATACGTGCAGCCATTAAAGTGTTAACGTACACGGATCAATTTCTATTTGAATTACATCAACAGTCAACGTTTCGAACCGTGTCTGATAATTGTATTAAGCAACGAAAGGGTCGATCGAGCGCACGGTGTGCGATAATCGCGATTGTTTACGTTTGTTCCATGTCATTCATCTTCGCGACCCCCTACGTATTAATATTCATGCGAGCAGGTGTAAAACAAACACGCGTGATGTCACACGCTCGAACGCGCCCGTTTTACGAGCAATGTTTACGGACAGAAGCTCCGCCAAGTGGGGAACAGACACCGGTGACCTAATCTTACCGATGCAATTTATTTTCTTTACCCCGCGAATCGAGTTCACGATCGATCGTATCGGGGACACGACGAATTCGCGAGACGCTTTCTAACGCTGCAAAACGTCTCGTTGTTATATCACTGGAGGTCGTTTGCCAGCAATTTCGGTCGAGACATCGAATTCGCGCGAAATTGCGCTCGAATCGCAGAAACAACTTGAAAGCGACGTTGCTCGAGCATTGTTCCCTAGGCACGCTAGATGGCGTAAAATTGAGCATTCCTTGAATACGTTTCGCTCATCAAGATAAATAAAAGTTATTTATTAACTTTTAACTCTTCGAATTACGTTAACACTTTCACTTTGTTGTAAATGTTCAGTTTCAAGGTATACCGTCCAAAAATATGGAAACATACTTTTTCAATGAGAAAGTAAGTCTTCCATTTTTATTATCCATAACCTAAAAGCATTGTAACCTTTTTTTACCGACTTTTTCTTTCCGTTTAGGAGGCTAGACCAACTCCCTTGAATTGTCTAGGAAAATAATAACACAATTTGTTATACAGAACTTTATTTTCAACGTTTGATCTCAAGATTTTGCTTTGTTTTTAGGATACTCGAACCGGCGGAAATCTGGAAAATGGCGCTGACGCAAAGTGTGACGAAACGAACGGTAGAATGAAAAGACCGAGATCGTGGAAAGTGAAAACCGTGCGCTGTCTGGAATCGACTAGAAAATGCGTACACGACATTTCTCCGGTTTTTTTTTCCTCTCTTCCCCCCCCCGCCGGCGACACGATGAAAAGTCCTGACCCCCGATGACTGGATCGGGCAAAAGTTTCTCTCGTCGCGCTTTGACGGCGGTGCACACGACTCGCGAGGGGGGCCAGGTAAAACGCGGAATGTACGGTGGCACGGATTAATTTATGCCCGGGCTCGTGAGTGTGTGTGTGGGTGCAAAGACACTTTCTCCACGGTCGAGGTCTGCCCCCGTCGAACGCGACTTCCTTCCATAACAGATCCGACTTTCTCCCGTTTCGCGGGACGTCGACGGTCGCCCCCTCTGGCCGCCATTGTTGCGTAATGTCGAGCGTGGGCACGATGACGAGGCGAAATAATAATACGGAGGTGTTAACGAATTATTAACAGCCGCTTGTTCGCGGTATAATGGCATTAGCCGGGGCGACGACGCTAATAAAACACGCGTACGGGCGAATCGACGCTGGGAAATCAAGATGGCCGACGTAGAAAAGAAAGCGTTCGAAAAGTATTACGGGCAGAGGCTTCGATTATCGCTGCTAATGGGGAGTAAACCTGCCACGGGCACAGAAAGGTTAAAGACGTATAAATATTATTTATTTTATCGGCGGGGAAAGTGGACTCGAACGGAATATTTTTTAAAATCTGTACTTCGTGCAAAGACACGAATCGTTTGAATAGTTCCGTATAATAGTACTTTTATCATCTTTCTGTGACTGGACGTTGGTCCACAAACCTCTGTCGGTTTAGAAAGCTACCTTTAAACGTTAAGAATAGTTACTATTTCATCGCAATAGTTAACTCTCTCCGATAGTCGAGTACTTGCGAGAGAGTCAAGAGCGTAGCCCGCTGGTAGCGAGCAGGGGAAGTAACACCACAAGCATACTCAGAGTTAATATTCCAATATTTTATGAAATGTTTACTTCAAAAATTTCTAGGAGGTATAATAACAGGAAGATAATTTAACAAAATATTAATCAACTTTATTTAACAACAACATTGTATAAAAAAAGAAATATACATGAAGGATGGAACACGTTAGTGTCGTACGAGGGGCACCTCGATGAAGAAAATAGAAAAAAGATAAAGGGCCGATACGTCAGTCGATTAATCCATGGAAAGCTTAACTCTCTACCACTTAACGTACACCTAATGTAATATATACAGCGGCTTATGTTACAATACTCTACGCGGACAGATTTTTGTACAACCATGTTACCGTACGGCGGTTCACTGAACGGGGAACGCGAAGTTCGCGGCGCTCTGGTTCTGCGACGCTGGCGGCGGCACCAGATCCTGGTTGATCGTTTGAGCTTCCGTCTTGGACGATCTGTCCCACCTGATCTTGTTCTCATCCACCTGTTGTTGCAGACCCTGTGGCTTCAGCTTCGATACCGCTTCCGTACCTTTGGCCTGGCTATCCTTGCGATCCTCCCATCCGTGATGAGGATGATGATGGTCCTCCGAGGGGAACCATTCCGATATCCACACCGGCTTCCAGATCTTCTTCCAGGCTGGCACCCAGATCTCCTTCCAAGCTGGCACCCAAATCTGCTTCCACGCCTCTTTCCAGGCTAGCTTCTTATCAGGTATCCACTCCAACTTCTTGTCCGGTTTCCAGATCTGCTTCCAGGCCTCCTTCCACTCCAGCTTCTTGTCGGGCACCCAGATCTGCTTCTTCGCCGGTTTCCAAATCTGCTTCCACTCCTCCTTCCAGATCAGCTTCTTGTCGTCCACCCAGATCTGCTTCTTGGCCGGCTTCCAGATCTGCTTCCACGCCGGCACCCATTCCAACTTCTTGTCAGGTACCCAGATCTGCTTCTTCGCCGGTTTCCAATACTTCTTCCAAAGCGGTTTCCATATCAGTTTCTTCTTCCACAGGTCGTGGCTGGTGTACTGCCAACCGTGGTGATCGGTGCCGTGATAATGCTCGCCGGGGATCCCGACCTTCACCCACTCCGGTATCCAGAGCTTCTTCCAGGCTGGCACCTGGATCTCCTTCCAAGCCGGCACCTGGATCTCCTTCCAGACGGGTTTCCAGATCTTCTTCCAAGCTGGCACCTGTATCTCCTTCCACGCCGGGACCTTGATCGGCTTCCATACGGGTTTCCAGATCTTCTTCCACGCCGGTACCTGGATCTCCTTCCACACAGGTACCTGTATCTCCTTCCACACCGGTTTCCAGATCTTCTTCCACGCCGGCACCTGGATCTCCTTCCACACGGCCTTCTGCGTCGGCACCCACACCGGCTTCCAGATCTTCTTCCACGCGGGCTTCCAGATCTGCTTCTTCGCCGGCTTCCAGATCTTCTTCCAGCCCGGTTTCCAAATCAGCTTCTTCTTCCAGTAGCCGTGGTCGTGGTGATGGTCGTCGTGATGCTCATCCGCGCCTCCGGAATGACCAAATCCGCCGATGTCTCCTCCGCCGCCAGAGTGGCCCAAACCGCCGCCAATGTCACCACCTCCGGAGTGGCCCAAACCGCCGCCTATGTCGCCACCTCCGTAGTGTCCCAAACCTCCGCCGATGTCGCCACCTCCGGAGTGTCCCAAACCTCCGCCAATGTCGCCGCCTCCGGAGTGACCCACGCCCCCGCCAATGTCACCTCCTCCGGAATGGCCGTAACCTCCGCCAATGTCACCGCCATGGCCACCGATGTCGCCACCGTAGCCACCTAAACCGCCACCGATGTCGCCACCGTAGCCACTCGCGTCACCGCCGTGGCCTCCACCCAAATCGCCACCCCATCTCTTCTGTGCTTCCGTTCCATACCTGTGCATAGAAATTTAGTACACAAAATGTTTAGTTTAGAATTTTACCAGAAAATGTACTTTGTTGGGTAAAGATATAGGGTTCAGTTTAACACTAGAACTATCGAACTGGTCCAAATACACTTCTTCGAGTATCTATCATTTGGTCGATAGTTCTAGTGTTGAACAAAAGAACAAAATTAGCTTTTTAAGAGGGATTAGACGTACGGAATTTGCTGTTGAGACTGTGGCTGAGACTGTTGCTGCAACGGACTCTGATCCAACGCTTTGCTCGCCACAAGAGCGGCATGCAGTAGCACTGCTAGCGCAGCCTGCGAACAATGCAATCGCACAATGATAACGGAGCTCGAAATATCTGTTTCCAACGTCAAAGAAAGCTCGACGGTACCGCGTGGACCGACACTCTACTTCACGGAGGCGCAAAAGCGACTTTTAACGGTTGCTCTTTTATGGAACGTCGCTTTCGAAACTCGCCGTCGATCGTTAATTGAGTAACACGTTCGTCGACAAATAGCCACCGACGGCGAACGTTTCGCAGTTCCGGTTTCGACGCTGCGTTACGAGTTTTTAGCTTCGATACTTAACGATCCTGAAGAGTGCAAGTACTTCGAGTAATTATAGGATTTTATCGCTTAATAGCAACAAAGATTATATCGGGATAATTAACACCGATATTTGCAAGAAATCTACACTGTTTTATTATTGTTGATACGTATAGAGATTAAACAAGTAAAATGTAAATATTGAATAGTGTATCTGGAGCATCGCTGGTCCAAATTGACAAATGGCAATTTATATACAAAAAGGACTGAGATAGGCACATTTTGAATCGCCATTTGTCAATCGTGACACTCGCTGACAGAGCTGGGTGAATTTTATTCGCGAATAACGAGTAACAATTTTAGATTCGTTCGTAATTTTCACAAAATAGTCCAAATGTGTATAATGAATTTTTTTAATAATGTCTCGACCCTGGAGTACCTTTTCGAAACATGATGGATTAAATTAAATCTAACAAACTTATTAAATTTAATTTTAAACTTTCACATATACATATACATCTATATAAACTTAAATTGGGAATTAAAATTCTTATAATAAATTTTTTAATTCCACAAATAATACCAATAAATTGAGTAAATTTATATATATATACACAGTGAAATTTTTGTTAATATACATTACGTTAATGTGTAAAAAATTGGGTACTCCAAACAATAACTTCTACGTTAATTAAATACCCATATTGGGATCTAACCATTAAAAATATTTTATAAAAGCATTCGAACGAATCAGGAAATTTTTTTATTCGTAATTCGTGTGTAAATTTCGCCCACAGCTCTGTTCGCTACTTACTCCAGATACGGTGTCTCGAGGATCTATGGATCATCGTGGAGCGCGGTCTTCCGGTCGGTAGCGTCGAGTTATCGTTCGAGAACAACCACCCTCGCGAACTACAGACAACGAATAGCACCTCTTAACGCACAGTGGCGACTCCGAAAAGTTAAAAAAAAAAATTAGTAAAATTGATTTTCGTTGGACGAACGCGTTCTTCCGGTCGGTAGCGTCGAGTATCGTTCGAGAACAACCACCCTCGCGAACTACAGACAACGAATAGCACCTCTTAACGCACAGTTGTGACTCGAAAAGTTAAAAAAAAAAATTAGTAAAATTGATTTTCGTTGGACGAACGCGTTCTTCCGGTCGGTAGCGTCGAGTATCGTTCGAGAACAACCACCCTCGCGAACTACAGACAACGAATAGCACCTCTTAACGCACAGTTGTGACTCGAAAAGTTAAAAAAAAATTTTTTTTAAAGAAAAATTGATTTTCGTTGGACGAGCGCGGGAAAATGAATTTTAAAGTGTGAACTGACCGCGCATCCCGGGCGAATCCTCATATTTCTCGCAATGCCGCCCGTCGGGCTCGGGCCGCGTACTCTTTGTCCCCTAAGTGCAGGAAAACGTAACTTACTTCGCCCAATCAGCGGAACGCCGTAGTTATATAGGCGCGTATTCTCCCCCATGCGGGAGAACCTGGCCTCGTGGTGTGTCCGAGCCAGCTGGCCGAAGGTGGTGGTAGAACCGTACCGGTGGAGGAGGCATCGCGACGGTCGGTGGGCCCGGAGACGCCGAGCGTTACGGAAAGCCCCGTACCGTGGCGAAATTTCTATAAGACCGCCGTCGTTTGCCGCCAAAATTCTCCAAACGCGCATCTATACCATAAACGTACTCTAACAACGCGCGAAAACCATACAAACCACGTGTCTAGCTTAGCTCTTATCATAAAAACACTCCTAAACGTATCACATTTCCACATTTGCATCTTGCTTCAAAGTTGCTCGCTAATCTTTCGAACTTGGCACCTATATTTTACTCAAACCACTGTGTTGGAGCATTTAAATCAATTACGTCAAATTTAGAGTCATAAAAAATGTCTACTTTCGAGAAATTGAATTAAAATCGTCGAACCGTGTTGTTTTCTTCTAAAAAGTTCGTGTGTGATCTTCCAAAATGCGTGAAAATGCGTGAGATCTCGAAAAAGTTTCAAAAACCACTGTAGATTTCCAAAGGTAAAGAAATTTTATTATATTGACCTTAGTTTATAATTCATTATTGTCGTTTGTTTCATAAACGTTCGTGGAACTGTATCTGTTTATTGAATCTCTTCTGTTGCAGGCCAAAATGGTGGGAAGCTACCCTCCCGGAGTCTGCTGGGCACTTCCGGCTAGATGGCGCCACGCGAAACGAAATAATCGTGAGACTATAGGTTAGGTACTCGTCTGTGCTCCATATAAACTTTATCCAACCGCCTCACGACGAAGGAGAAATGCCCCTTTATGGAGCGTAATTAGCTTAATTGAATATACTTCCGGCAGGAAGTACTTACACCAACGGTGTCGTATTTTGTTTATCCGTGCACTTTCAAATTTTCATCGAAATATTCGTACGTTCATTAATGGTACACAAACGAATTTAATCGACTCGATTTCAATTCGAATTGCCTAATGTGAACACAAACAATGTAAGGATTTTAGAAAATCCAAAATTTTCCATACTTTTTTGGTACAACATTATATATCAAACAAAATATCGAGAAAACTTCCAGAATCTATTATTGATCGTAATCCATATGCATTCATAGCCACACTAATCAAAATGCTAGTTTGCAAGCTACATTTTTCCTGCATATTTTTGTTCAATCACACCGGGTATAATTTTCATTATTTCCATCTGAAAAAAATAATACACACGCATGAAATGATACTCGATACGAGTACTAAAAATCATGTAACAGAGTCTTTCGGTTTCTTCGCAAAAAATGCCCCAATAAAGGGGGGGAAGTCACATTTGTTCTGCATACCTATATTCAATCACACCGGGTATAATTTTCGTTATTTCCATCTGAAAAAAATACTATACGCGCATGAAATGTTACTCGATACGTGTACGAAAAGTCACGTAACAGAGTCTCCCGGTTCCTTGGCAAAAAATTCCCCCAAAAAAGGTTGCAAATTGACCAGTTAGACCAGAGTGCCTTAAGAAGGGACCACTATGTAGAAATCCGAAATTAAGCCTTTTTTCAAGAATTATTTAGAAGGATAAAGAATTAATAAATATTTGTAAGGTTTCGAGGACTATTTAGAATACACTTGAATTTCATTTTGCAATTTTTTTTGTTCAAATAAAATGCAAAATGGCGGATATACAGCATGATTTGCCGTGTCGGTATTTATGATCCGAATCTGCTAAGCAACGAAATATAATTAGTACATAACAATAGTAAATGGATGAATCGAAGATATTGAAAGAAAATTGAAAATTGGAAAAATGGCAGACCTCGGAACAAACAGCTTAATATTTCAAAGAGGAACGTCTTGCGACGCTTCTAGCGAATCATGCTGTATCTCCGCCATTTTGCATTTTATTTGAACAAAAAAAATTGCAAAATGAAATTGAAGCATATTCCAAATAGTCCTCAAAACCTTGCAAATATTTATTAATTCTTTATCCCTCGAAATAATTCTTGAAAATCGGCTTAATTGTGGATTTCTACATAGAGGTCCCCTCTTATTGCGGATCACGAGGCAGTCAGTCCCATCGCTGACGGGGGCCCCCCCACTCCTCTCTCCTCCCCACTCCACGCTCGAGTGCCACCTCCCGTATAACCAGACGATCTTTCTTTGCAGCACGGTGGGCCCATCGTTCCGGAGAAAGTGATCGAGAACGGTGATCCGGTCGAGCGAGCCAAGCGGTTTCGTTCTCCCTGTATTTACACGGGGCGGCGCTGTCCAAGCGAAGGCGAAGTTCACGGGGACCGCAAGGTTATGCATCAAGGTTATACCCGGTGCTCCAGATCGCCGGACGATGCAAACGGTGGTGGAAAGAAATCGAACGCGGTTGGGCACCTCGTTCTCTCAAGTGAATACCTTTTTTTATATTCCACGTACGGTTCGATCGATTTCAGAGCCTCGTTCCGTTCGTTCGCCACGGTTTCTCTTCCGGGAGGCCCCCCAGGGGGGCCCCCTGGACCATCGTCGCTTTTCCTTTCACGCGTCCTGGCGCCAAACACCGGGGCCCTAACAACCGAACGGACCCAAATTTTTTTTTCATTGCCTCCAGTCATAGCAATTGCTGCTCTTTTTTCGGTACCAATTTCACTTTTACCAGCGTTGCGCAACAAGTTGGTCTAAAACGTATTTCGTAATGTTTTTCGATTTACTTTGGTAACTCGTACACGTTCTACGCTTTACATTTTTAATTCTTCGACTTCTTATGGTTGGAAATATTGTTTGAAATAATATTGAGAGGGTACTCCATTTCTTTCGATAATTTTTCTTTACATTCTTCCTCGATTTTTATAACATTTTTCGATTTATTTAGTAGCTCGTATACGTCATCCCCTACGCTTTACAATTTTAAATTCTTCGACTTCTTATGATCGAAAATATTATTTTAAATAATATTGAGAGGGTACTCCATTTCTTTCGATAATTTTTCTTTACATTTTTCCTCGATTTTGAGAATCGATGCACTTTTTTTCCTCGATTTCGTTTAATTTGAGTAATCGTATTTCGCAGCATCGAAAGTATATTTTTGCGAGGCAAAATACGTGGAATTCGGTGAAAAATCGCCGGAACTAATTGACGCTTCGAATCACAGACTATGGCCGCGAAGCATCGCGTTCCAATGGCATAGGAACCACCGTCGATGGATTTCTAACGCTTCCCCTTTCATTAATTACGCATTCAGGCGATCGCGCGTACATTAACTTCCCGAATAAAATTTCCGGGGGGGGGGCTCGATCCGTCGGGATTTTTATTGCCCGGTTAAGTAATATAATTTTACCCGACAAAGCGACGACCGCGTAATCGCTTAGGTAACGTTTCAAGGTCGACTACGGTAACCAGAATCCGCCAAACAAGAAAATCTTCCAACTAGAATACTAATTTCGTCCCTCGATATTTCACTAATTATTGGACTATTGGAATAATTTAAATATTTTTTTATATCAAGGATGGTTCATTTCTCCTTCATCAATTTAAATCTACCACTTATTTTGCAAACATTTTGCATTTTATTTAACCCAAGCAGAGAATTTATGGAAAAATTGTTGTTTCATCAGAGAATCTCAATTATGGTCTTTTCTTGCAATTACAAAATTGAAATGTCCAATAATTAAAAAAAAAAGCCACTTTCGTACTAATTTCGTCGCTCGATATTTCAGGAATTATTGGACAAATTACCTCGAAGGCATCGTGGATCAGAATTTTACAAAATGGAGTAATTCAAATATTTCTTTATATCAAGAATGTTTCATTCCTCCTTCATCTTATCTTGCAAGAATTTTGCATTTTATTCAATGGAAGCAGAGAATCTATGAAAAATTGTTTCATCAAAGAATCTCAATTACAGTCTACCTTTTCTTGCAATTACAAAATTGAAATGTCTAATAATTAAAAAAAAAAATGAATTTGACTATAATCGAATGATTTTAGGCCCCCAAAATAAGCTCGACCGAGTTGTGAAGCGATGTTTACCGAGCCAGAAGCGATAATCGGTTAAAATTTCTTACGAGACGCCTGGCGTCCGGTCGATGAAAGTGAATTCTTTCGGTTCGCCGTAGAGAGCCGGATGTCCGAGAGGTTCACGAAAACGCCGGGATACGATTCCCACCATTCCGGTTCGTAAATCATCCGGCGTGCTCCAGATTTTCGAGTCCAGACCCGGGAGCATTTTTCGAACGACCGTGGACGTTTCACCTTTCCACGGATCCGGGATATTTCCGCTCGAACGTGCCCGTCTGCTTCGGGGGTTTAATAAAAAAAATCGAGAACCCATCGTGCTTGGAACCTGAAAGTCACGATTCTTGGAATTCCATCCTCGTTCCCCTTATCGACTTTCTGTTTCTCGTAGTTGTATAATTGTACGTCACCAATTAAACGTAGCTACGGGGGCAACGGTTATTGGCCACTAACGATCCCGTTCCCCCTATATTTTATTCACGAATTTCAGATCCGTATCGACCAACTAAAATTAGAATTAGAATTAGAATTCGTTAATATTGGGTTGAAATACGGTTATTGGCCACTGACGATCTCGATCCCCCCATATTTTATTCACGAATTTCAGATCCATATCAACTAAAATTAGAAATTAGAAAATTAGAATTAGAATTCGTTAATATTAGATATTCGTCAAATATTGCGTTTAAATACGATTATTGGCCACTAACGATCCCGATACCGCCATATTTTATTCACGAATTTCAAATCCATATCGACCAACTAAAATTAGAATTAGAATTAGAATTCGTTAATATTGGATATTCGTCAAATATTGCGTTTAAATACGATTATTGGCCACTAACGATCCTGATCCCCCCATATTTTATTCACGA